TCCTCTTTGGTCCCCCATTTTTGTAGAGGGAAAGGTCCTGAGAAGATATGTCCCCCATCTGGGAGGTAGCCAGGCCAGGATGGGAAAGCCCATGAGTATTGCCTGTCAGGCCTCCTGGAGTTGCGGAGATAATAGCTACAGCCCCACCTCCACCATCAGCCCAGGCCAGAGGGGGTCACTTCCTCAGTCAAGTGACAAGAGGCTGAGGGGGTTACACACACACACACACACACACACACACACACACAGAGGCAGTGTCTGTCAATCTGTCTCTACTTTTCTCTCTTTGAAGGCAGCAGAGGGTCCTTCTAGCTGACTCTGTTCATTAATCTCTCTCTGCCTCTGTCCTTGGCTCTCAGCTTCAGTCTTCTTTTGCAATGAAAAAATATTTAATTTTGATAAAATGCATATAACATAAAATTTGTCATGTTAAGAGTACTGTTCAGTAGCCTTAAATACATTCACATTGTCGTGCAGCCAATCTTTGGAATCTTGGCTTTAAGAAAAATGTTTATTTTACATTGGGCTATAGTTGATTTATAATGTTGTATATATATATAATGTTTAGTGATATAGCAACGTGATTCACTTATACCTATACACACATCTGGTCCCATCATGTCATGACAAATAGATGGGGAAACAGTGACAGAATTTATTTTGGGGGGCTCCAAAATCACTGCAGATGGTGACTGCAGCCATGAAATTAAAAGACACTTACTCCTTGGAAGAAAAGTTATGACCAACCTAGATAGCATATTAAAAAGCAGAGACATTATTTTGCCACCAAAGGTCCGTCTGGTCAAGGCTATGGTTTTTCCAGTAGTCATGTATGGTATATGAGAGTTGGACTGTAAAGAAAGCTGACCACCAAAGAATTGATGCTTTTGAACTGTGGTGTTGGAGAAGACTCTTGAGAGTCCCTTGGACTGCAAGGAGATCCAACCAGAACATCCTAAAGGAAATCAGTCCTGAATATTCTTTGGAAGGACTGATGTTGAAGCTGAAGCTTCATTACTCTGGCCACCTGATGCAAAGAACTGACTCATTTGAAAAGACCCTGATGCTGGGAAAGATAGAAGGCAGGGGGAGAAGGGGACAACAGAGGATGAGATGGTTGGATGGCATCACCCACTCAATGGACATGAGTTTGAGTAAACTTCTGGAGTTGGTGATGGACAGGGAGGCCTGGTTTGCTGCAGTCCATGGGGTCACAAAGTGTCGGACATGACTGAGCAACTGAACTGAACTGAACTGATACATATATCTATTCTTTTTCAGTTTCTTTTCCCATTCAGGAACCTGAATGGGATGTTCAGAGTACTGAACAGAGTTCCCTGTGCTATCAGTAAGTCCTTGTTGGTTATCTATTTTAAATATTGTTGTTGTTTAGTCACTAAGTCATGTCTGACTCCTTTGAAAGGCCATGGACTGTATAGTCCACCAGGCACCTCTGTCCATGGAATTTCCCAAGCAAGAATACTGGAGTGGGTTGCTATTTCCTTCTCTAGGGGATCTTCCCGACCCAGGGACTGAACCGGTGTCTCCTGCATCGGCGGGAAGATTCTTTAGCCCTGAGCCACCCGAGAAGCCATATTTTAAATATAGGTGTATGTGTGTGTCGAGTCTCTGGGTCCCTCTCTGATTTCCCCTGAGTCTGGCTGTGTTTGGTCCCTAGATCTCTCTCTCTCCTTTTCTGTCTGTCTCTATCTCTCTCAATTCCTCTCCCTCTATATCTCTGCAGGAAATTTTCCTCTCCCCAGCCCCAGGAAACCCCCGAAACCTGTGGGACTCACCCAGGACCCCACAGGCAGGTAGGAGCTGGGTGAGACCCAGGTGAGTCAGAGGAAGAAGGAGCTGACATTCCTGCAGTTTTTTTTCTGGAACTGTCCACGGCCCAGCCTCCTGCCTGCCTCCTCCCATAACACGTCACTGGACCTCACGGTGTGTGTCACGTAGAGAGAACAAGTCAGAGACAGAGACAGCGAGGCAGAAACAGCCAGAGACACAGAGATGGAGGCCAGAGTCAGAGAGGCAGGGAGAGACGAAGGAAAGGAGTGGCACTTCCCTGGTGATCCAGTGGCTAAGACTCCGTGCTCCTAACACAAGGGGCCCGGGTTGAATCCCTGATCCGGGAACTGGATCCCACATGCTACAATTAAGAGGTCTCCTGCTGCAGCTAAGACCTGGTGTAGCCAAATAAATAAATATAAAAAAAAAGAAAGAAAGAAAGGAGCAAAACAGACATATTGAAAAAGACAAAAAAGGACTTCCCCCTGGCCACCCAGTGGTTAAGACTCTGTGCTTCTACTGCAGGGCTGAGGTCCAGGAACTATGGTCCCATATGCTGCCAAATAAAAAAAGACAAAGACACAGAAAGGGAGAGACAGATGGACAGATTTCAGGAAATTAGAGCAGTCTGGGGTAGGAGGATGGGAGGGCTCTGAGTTATTTCTCTGTCTTCAAATAGTTCATAGCGATGAGGTCATCTGGCCAGGAAGCGGCAGCGCCAGACCACACAGCTCCATGAACCTACAAACCTGAAGCTACTTTTCACCAAGAGATGCTTCCACCTACCCCAGACCCATTTCACAGCTGGGAAAAGCAAGGATCCATGGAGTGAAGCCACCTGCCCAGGGTCCCCCAGGAGCAAGAGGGCTGAACTGGGTCTCAAGGCCACCTGGGCTAACACCCCAACTTTCTATCTCCCCGCCTCATCTGCATCAATATCTCATTCAGTCTTCACACCAACCCCAAGAGGGGCTGAATTTTCCACATGAGGAGACTGAAGCTTGACAATGAGAATATCGGTTGAGCTGGTACTATCCTGCTGTCGTCAGCATGACAATTGCTGTCTTCATGAGTCAACATGACAGTTCTACCTCCTGTCCTATCCTACCCACAGAGAGGAAACGCAGGACCGGAGTCTAGAATCTGGACCCAACAGGGATAACAATGGCAGTGACGGTTTTTATTGAGCACTTGCTATTATTATTATTATTGAGCACTACCACAGTGCCAGGTGCTGTGCAAGAATGTACACTTTTCTGTCTCTAGGGCGTGGGCTTAGTTGCCCCAAAGTATGTAGAATCTTCCTGGACCAGGGCATGAAATCATGTCCCCTCCATTAGCAGTCAGATTCTTAACCACTCGACCACAAGGGAAGTCCTTTTCTTATCTTATCTTAAAATGAATACCTTAAGGCTTTGATGCATTAGTAAGAATAACAATAGTTTAATCATTATTGCAGTGGTAGAGGTAGCTACTTCTTACTCACAGCCTACTACTGTGTCCCTCTTCATTCTGTTCCAGTTACACTGGCCTCTCTGCTGTTTCTAGGTCTTATGAGGTCCGCTCCCACCTCAGGGCCTTTGTACTCACTGTTTTCTTTCCCTGGAACTCTTCCTGGACCATCTGTTTGAACAGCTATTCTCACTACATTCAGCCTCTGTTCAAATGTCACCTCCTCAGGAAAGCCCTCCAGGACTACCTGGCCTAAAACCAACCTCACCTCACTTGTACCCTTGCACCTCCTTCAACCCAGTTTGTTTTTCTGCATTTTACTTACCACAGTCTGACAGCGATAGACCAGGTAATACATATTTACTCCCTACTGTCACAAGGGCAGGGACTTTTCTGCTGGGTCCACAGCTGCTGAAGTGCCTGGCAGAGAGCAGGTCCTTGGTAAATGTTGACAGAGGTTGTTGAGGCACTCCATGTGGGCCAGTGACCATTTCAGGCATTTAATTCTACTTCATTAAATAGCTCTGACTGGGAGGGAGAGGCTATTTCATGTTTTGTATTTTATTTTTCTCTTTTAAAAACTTATTATGGGGACTGCCCTGGTGTTTCAGCAGCTAAAACTCCATGCTCCCAATTCAGGGAGCCTGGGTTCAATCCCTGGTCAGGGAATTAGATCCCACATGCTACAACTCAAAATCTCAGAGGTTTAGTAAAATACCCGAGGTTGCACAGCTAATGACTAGCTGAAAGTAGAACCCCCACAGTCTGGTCTCATGCCACAGAGACGATCGGAGATGCTGCGTGCCAGAACTAAGACCCAGTGCAGCCAAATAAATATTAAAATAAATAAATAACTGTGACTCAGTGGTAAAGAATCTGCCTTCCAGTACAGAGATTTGGGTTCAATCCCTGGGTTGGGAAGATCCCCTGGAGGAGGAAATGGTAACCCACTCCAGTATTCTTGCCTGGGAAATCCCATGGACAGAGGAGCCTGGTGGGCTGCAGTCTATGGGGTTGCAACAAGTCAGATACGACTTAGCAACTAAACAATGATGTTTTGCCTTTCTTTTTTTTCCTAAAGTATTTTAAGGCAAATGCAAATCCAACAATGACATTCAGTCTCTAAATATTTCAGCATCTGTAGAATACAAGAACAAGTTTTCCTCATAACCACAAAACCATTGTCATAACAGCAATATCTGCTTCTTGTCTGAAGTGTTTTAAAGTAAATTGGAGACACTGTATTATTTCACCCCCAAATATTTCAGCCTGCAGCTCTAAATGAGAAAGACACTTTCCCATATAACCACGATCCTTCCTAACAAGACTAAGGAAAGCCCTATAATATCTAATAGTCAAATTTCCCAAAGGGATGAGTTTTAGTTTAAAGAGTGTGGTCCCTTCCCCTAGATGATGTGGCATTGAGAGAAAATTGGAATTCACACCCAGGCAGTCCGGGGACAGTGTGACTACTGCCAACGTGAGTCAGAGCAGGGTCACCCCGTACCCCCCCCCGGCTGGCCACACCCTGGTAAGGGAAGTTTTTGAGGAAGGTGCGGGAGGGGTGGGAAGGTGGGTAGGGGAGGCGGGCAGCGGGGTGGGGGGGGGGAGCGGGGAGAAGGAATGACCTACGCATCTGGGGCTGACTCGCTCTTTCGCAAACTTCTGGGAGGAGCCCCCAGAGCCACAAAACTGTCTCCTTCCGGGGGCCAGACTGAGAGGTGCAGGGAGATCGCGAGCAGGACCCACCGTCGGAGATGGGCCAAGCGCTGCTGCTACTGCTGTTGGTTCACGCCTACTTTCCAGGTAGGAGCAAAGGTGCCCGGACCTCTAAGCTGGGGACTGGGGTCTGACGGCGGGGAAGGGAGAGGGGAAGAGAGGGGAAGAGAGCTCAGAATCTGACGACTCGGAGAAGGAGGGCTCAGTCCCCCGTCCCCACCCCACAATCAAATAATTCTCCTGTTCTCGGCTCCCCACCCCCAGCGGCACAGAACCGGGCACAGAGTAGCGGCTCAGGAAATACTTGTTGAGCAAAAGAGCTTAACGACAGACACCATCTAGTGAACACGCTCTTTATTCCAGTCACTCTTCTAAGCTTCTTCTTTGCAATTTCCGACTGGCGGGGGGCGGGGGGGGGCGCAGAACTATTTTAACCCCTTTTTACAGAGAAAAAGTACAGACAGGTTAACTAACTTGTCCGAGGCCACACAGCCAGCCTTTGTAAGTGGGATTCTGACCCGAAGTGGATCCTACAGCCCTCTCCATTGTATCAGGTTCCCCCCCCCCCACCTCCGCCCCGCCACACACACATTCGTGAGACAGGGAGGACAGCGCCTCATTTTACACAAGGTCTAAAAAGAGTCAGGCTGAGTCTGGCAGAGACAGGGGCCAGGGAAACAGGGCTTGTACTTCGAAGCTCCTTCCCTTTCACTACACTCTAGCCGACGGGACCCCTTAAATCCTTTCTTTGGAAAATGGAAAACGGGTCGAAAAATGAAAGGAAGTTGAGTTGGAACTGTGAGGGCGGGACGGGGGGGGTAGGAGTTGAGTGACATCCAGAAGGTTTTCTGGACCGCGGGAGGCCTAGAATGAGTAATTTAGGGGACTCCGAATTTGGAGCGGGAAAGGGACCACAAGGGATGTCTGCGGGGCAAGGTTGAGCCTCAGCGGGGGAGCCAGAGGGCGGAATTTTGGCAACCCCAAGGAGGTGGTGGGCGGGGTCATAACTTCGGGGCGGAACCAGTGGGTGGGGCTGACAGGTCCCGAGCCCCTAGTGGGCGGGGTTTAAGCAGCTCGAGAGCCGCTGGGGGGCGGGGGAAAGCTTCGGAGGAGGCCCCAGTAGGTGGGGTTAGAATCTCCGCAGGGCTGATGGGAGGAGTTAGAAGTTCTCGGACGGCTGCGTGGCGGGAGCAAGCTGGGGAGAGGTTGGGAAAGCAAGGAAAACCAGAGGGCGTTAGTGGGGGGAACTCCAGGGACGAAGGTAGAACGTAAAGATAGGCGGAAGTCGGTGAGGTTAGAACACCCCTAGGAGAGCTCGCGAGGTGGAATAGGCCCAGGCAGGCGGGGGTTGGGGGGGGCGGGGGGGGGTTGGTAAAGGACTAGGCTAGAAGTCTGCACCCTCCGAGAGGGTGGGAATCTCACTTTCTGGATGACCCGGGCCCTCGGTTAGAATTAAAGGGAAAGCGAGCGAGGACTGGACTTAGGAAGGACCTGTGGGCCGGGGGGAGGGGGGAATAGGGTAAAGGACAAAAATAAAACGTTGGCCTAAAGATAGCATAGCGGGTTGGAACCCAGGCAGGGCAAAAGTGGAGCCTGAACCTGAGTGCACAAGGCCTGGAGATTCGGTCCAGGTGTTGGGGCTTAAAGGGGGCCGGGGTAGGGGGCGGTAGAGGGGGTGCGTGGGGCGGGATCCTGGCTCAGAGCAGTAACACCTCTTTTCCGTCGCCTCCCTCTGCCCCCAGCCTCATGGGGCCTGCGGTGCTTACAGTGTAAGAACATGAGGAGCTGCAGTGTTGAAGAGTGTGCTCCTGGTCAGGACCTCTGCAGGACCACCGTCCTGCGTGTGTGGGAAGGTGAGCTGGGGCAGGGAAAGCGAGGGACCTAGAAACCTTCTCTCACGAGTCATCAGGGCAATACGCAAGAGAAAAAGACACTGAGGCCCCTAACACGCCCATCAGATGGACAAGCATTTAAGAATCTGACAGTCCTGAGATCGATGAGGTTGTGGAACTGCGGGCTCTGTTGTTAGGGAGGTAACTTGGTTCATCCATGGAACAGAACCACGTGGCAATACCTGATACAAATAAAGATTAACATACCCTACAAGCAGCAGTTAAACTTCAAGGAATGTAGAGACCCCAAAGAACCTTGGCCACACTTGCATAGAGATATATGTAAAAGGATGTTCCTAGTCCTCATGTTTGTGACACGGAAAACTGGAAAGACTGAAGTTAGAGTCAGCAGAGGAGAAACCTTAAAATATAATCACACATTATACCCCACAGCAGCTGAAATGAAGGAACTAGGGCTGTCGGGGACTTCCCTGGTGGCTCAAATGATAAAGAATCTGCCTGAAATGTGGAAGACCCAAGTTCAATCCCTGGGTTGGGAAGATCCCCTGGAGAAGGGAATGGCAACCCACTCCCGTATTCTTACCTGGAGAATTCCATGGACAGAGGAGCCTGGCGAGCTATAGTCCACAGAGGTCACAAAGAGTTGGACAGGACTGAGTGACTCACACACACACACACACACACACACAGGGCTCTAAGTATTAACCTGGATACATCTCAAAAATGTAAGATTAAAAGAGGAAAAAAAAAGTATGTTGCAGAGTTGGACACCTTTTACCAGAAACAGTATAACAATCAAAATAAGCAATAACATATTCTGCATACACAGGTGTGAGAATTACCTATATCAGTGGTTGCCTTCAGACAGGGAATAAGAGAAATGGGATTTGGAAGAGGGCAGTAAGCAGGAGGCTTTAACTATCTTTTAAACTTGGTTTCTCTCTTTTTTTTTAAATCTGAAACAAATATAACAAAATACTAATATTCTATAAAGTTTTGTAACTAATGCACATTATTTATTATATCATTCTCTTATACTTTTTGGTAAGCATTTTCCTTTAAAGATTCCTATTAGAATCCTCTCTATGTTAAGATCTCCAAGCTAGGAGGGAGGTGTTGATGGATCTAGCATGTCCCAGGTATAATGTTGTCACTAAGAGAGTAGGTTTCTGGTATAAGAGGTTGATGGGGAGGATGGGTAAGTCTAGAAAAGACAGAGTTGGACTCAAGTAAGAGGAGAGGCCTGGCAGGGTTCAGTCCTGGGAGCAGGTGACTTTATAACCAGGAGAGTCAGAGGCTGGTTGGGTCCAGGGAGCCTCTGGTGACAAAGAGACATTCCTCATAGGCAGCAACGAGATGAATGTGGTGGAAAAAGGCTGTACCCATCCAGAGAAGACCAACAGGTCCATGAGCTATCGGACTGGCAATCAGATCATCACCCTTTCAGAGGCCGTGTGCAGGTCAGACTTGTGCAACAAGCCCAACCCTGGTAAGTAGGACAGTCCTTGCCATCCCCAACCCCAAAACATCCGCATCCCAACCTCAACATCACCCTGGTCTTATCCCCAGTCTGGGGCCACCCCAACCTCAGCTCCATGCCTTACCCCAGGACCGACCCCCCAGCTCAAATCTTTCCTTATCCTGAACACATCTCCAGCCTGACTCCATTTCCATCCCTGACCCCAATCCCTTCCCCAGCTTCATTTTATCCCCAACACTCTCCAACTCAAACCCATCCTCCTCCTGAACGTAACTCTAATCCCATCCTCCAATCAACCCCAACTCATCTCAAACCGTCACCGGCCCCACTCCCAAGTACAAACTCATCCCATCCTATCCCATCTTGTACTGCTTGTATGTCTGTGTGTGTGTGGTTGTGATTTGTAAGATGCATCACCGGCCTTTAAGAAGCTGTATATACATACACCCACTTGAGTGGTAGGTGAGTTACCTCACTGACATTTTGCCATCTCATTTTTCTCATGGGACAGGAGATGGTTCAGGTGACAGATGCTTCATATCTTAGCAAGGGACCAAGATACAAAGATCAGAGATGCCAGTGACTCAAAGTCCTTAAAGGAAGTCAAAAGAGGAGGGAGCCAGACAGGCTGCCATGGGCTGGTAAAGTTCCCTAGAATCAATCCTTGAGCAGGGCGATGAAAAAAGAATGTGAAGAAACTTTTGCAAGGCTTTTTGTAGAGTTTCATGACTTTAGGTTCTGGTCTGTCAGTGTAAGAAAAAGACTTAGAAAGGCTCAAATTCCTCCGAGTTCTCACAGGAGAGGAAGGATAGCAAGGAGTAGACCATGGTGCAGAGTCAGGCAGAGATTCCTCTTTCTGGCCCTGGTGAGAAAGGGAATGTGTTAAGACCAGTCCAGTCACAATGACATCAGTAAACGGAGCACCTGTGTCTGCACTGAGTTTTTCCCTTGTTTTTCATCTGCCCTGATTCTGCTAGATTTTCACTGATCCTGACCTCAAACTTTCATCTGTTGGTGGGAGTTGAATCAGATGTTTATTTTCAAGGAAGTGGCAAGAGAGAGGATGTCGGCTTCCTCTTTCTGTTAGATCTGCCAAAGGAAAACACTAACAGTTGAGTCTCAGGAACACTTGTAATCAGAGATAACAACCCAAATATTTAACAGTACTGGTCAGTGCAGAGGACATTGACCAGTCGGGACCTATTTCCCTGAAGGCCTCCTACTGGGCCTGGTGTTTCCCCTTTAGTGGATCTTGGGGACATAAGGATTTTAATGGGCTTCCCAAGTGGTGATAGTGGTAAAGAACCCAACTGTCAATGCAGCAGATGTAAAGGACGTGGGTTCAATCCCTGGATCGGGAAGATTCCCCGGAGGAGGAAATGGCAACCCATTTTTCTTGCCTGGAGAATCCCATGGACACAGGAGCGTGGTGGGCTGCAATCCATGAGGTCACAAAGAGTTGGACTTGACTCAGCAACTTAGCATGCAGGCAAGGGGTCTAAAGACAAGGTTGGGAATGGTCAGGGGTCCACCAGGGAGCTTAGGCAGCAGCTGTCAATCCAGTGACTTAATAACTGAGGGAATTCCCTGATGGTCCAGTGGTTAAGAATCCACGTTTCCTCTGCAGAGGGTGCAGGTTCAATCCCTGGTTGGGGAACTAAAATCCCACATGCCTCAAGGTGCTGGAAAAAAAACAAACCTCTAAAAAATAACTGATATACCTATGTCAGCCCAATTTCTAAAGCCATTTTACCTTGCTTCTGGTGACTAGAATGGTTGGTTAAACCAAATCCTGTTCTGGGAGATCTTCCCTGGTGGCTCAGTAGGTAGAGTCTGCCTGCAATGTGGGAGACCCAGGCTCAATCCCTGGGTCAGGAAGATCCCCTGGAGAAGGAAATGGCCACCCACACCAGTATTCTTGCCTGGAGAATCCCATGGACAGAGGAGCCTGGTGGGTTACAGTCCATGGGGTCACGAAGAGTCGGACACAACTGTTCTTCTGTGATGCTGGGGACATAGCAATGGCCAAGACAGCCTTGAGTCCTGCCCCTCTGGGGCTCATAGTCCAGTAGTGTTTGTATATATGGCAGGGGTGGGAGGTGGGGGAGGGGGCAGGACAGACCATCACCAGATGGTGACTGCCCTGCCCCCAGTCAGAGCTGGGATCAGGGAAGCACAGAGAAAAGTGTCAGAACCCTGACACAGAAAACAGAGACCAGAGAAGTCGGAGCTGTAATAGGGAAGCACAGTCCAGAATCATGCGGGCTGAGATGGGGGACGCGGGGACCAGAGAGTGATCAGAGCTGGGATAACTATGAGTAGGGGCTGTAGGACCCTAGAGGAGATAAATGACTCAGGCCAGAGGAGGTTTCCTACAGGAAGCAACAGCTAAGCTGGATCTTGAGGGAGGAGGAGTCAGGCTGTTAAAAAGACAGTGGAAAGGGTTTTTTCCAGACAGAAGGAGCAGCAGATACAAAAGCAACAGGAGAGAGTGAAACTAGCATGGCTGGAGGAAGGACAAGATGGGGCAAGGTCACATTATACAAGGCCTTCTGGACTGTGGTGGGGAACATAGACTTCATCTGGGGAACACTGGGAGGTCATGAAAGGCTACAGGGTCACTATCAGATTTATATTTATGGACAAGTTATTCTGACCTCCGGCTTCCCAGGTTGCACTATTGGTAAAGAACCCAACTGCCAGTGCAGGAGATGTAAGAGATATGGGCTCAATCCCTGGGTCTGGAAGATCCCTTGAAGGAGGACGTGGCAGCCCACTCCAGTGTTCTTGCCTGGAGAATCCCATGGACAGAGGAGCCTGGTGGGCTACAGTCCATTAGGTCGAAAAGAGTCGGACAAGACTGAATCGACTTAGCAGGCACGGATTCTGACCTCAGAGTGGAAGACAGATTGGAAGGAAGAAATGATGGAGGGAAGGTAGATTAGGGGAGACCAACCTGGAGGTGTGTGAGGTTGTCCAGATAAAGAAGGGAATGTACGACTTCCTTGGCAAAGACCTCATGCTCCCAGTGCAGGGGATATGGGCTCAATCCTTGGTCAGGGAACTAAGATTCCACATGCCACATGGTGTGGCTAAAAACAAAAAAAGAAGAAGACAGTGTCTGTCTGATCAGCAGATGGAGAAAAGTGGATGGGTTTAAGAGCTATTTAGCAGGCAGATAAGCATAACTTAATGATGGGTTAGATGGTGAGGGCAGATATGCAGTTCTGGTCATGTGGAGTTACTTGTCTCAGACCAACTTCCCCTGCCCCACCCCGCTATCCACCACCAATGACAGTTACAAAAGCTGGATAAATTATAAGCAATCACTGAAGTCACTCAAGAGCAGCAAATGTAGAGAGGAAATAGAGGTGCTCCAATCCTTGAAATAAGGGAAGCACAGGTTGAATTCCACAGACAAGCTGGCTTTTACCTTGAGTGCACTTGCCAATTCACTACTCTGGAAGGGAAGTAGAACGCAGATAGAAAGAGATTGTCGCTAGACTGAGAAGGCAGAGGTTGAAATCTGGGGCTGCCAGAGTGTCTGGAAAACGAGAAGTGAAATCCTGGAATGCATGGAACCACAGAAAAGGGAGTCCCCAAATCTGCAGATTTCCTTCAAGTCATTGGCAAGCCGTACGTGCATAGCATTAGACTCCAAGAAACTCCACAGAAAATAGTATCTGGGAAACTACAGAACTGAGCAGGAATTCCAGCGAGCATGTGATGCTGGGAAACTGAAGTTGCCAAATTGGAAAGAGAAGTTTAGGCTTTCCTCTCAGATCACACCCTAAGAATAAGGGCAAAACCAGAAATTGACCAGCCCCAGTCAATAAAGAATCCGCCTGCAATACAGGAGACCTGGGTTTGATCCCTGTGTTGGGAAGATCCCCTGGAAGAGGACATGGCAAACCACTCCAGTATTCTTGCCTGGAGAATCCCCATGGACAGAGGAGCCTGGTGGGCTGCAGTCCATGGGATTGCAAAGAGTTGGACATGCCTGAGTGACTAAGCATAGCACAAAAATGCCTACATCCAGTTTCTACAGGAAGAAAACCTAATCTCTCTTTGGCTGAAGATAAAATCATTTAAAGCCTTTACAAGTTGTTATCTATGTCTGGCATCTAATCAAAACATACAAGGTATCCTGAAGAAAATAGAAAGGACCAATCGACTGGGGAAACCGAAAGAAAAACCCCATAACAGAAACAGACTTGTGAATCAGATATTGGAGTTATTAGACAGGGGAGGTCTAAGACAGCTATGATCAATATCTTCAAGAAAATAGAGGAAAGGATAATTTTTAGCAGAAATCTGGAATCCATTTTAAAATGAGTCCAACAGGAAATAGAGGACAGGGTCTAAAATTAAGAGCTCAATAGGACATGCTTAATGGAGATCAGAAGCAATATGGCAAAAGGATTACAGAAGATAGGGAAGTGGGAGTAATTAGATTGATAGCTAGATATGGAAGATCAAGGAGCCTGCCAAGTTTGTACCCTGGGAGACCAGATGGGGCCACCTCAGAAACATGGAATTCAGGAGAAGCAGCCGTTCGGAGAAATGGAGAGTCTTGTTGGGGACAGGGAGAGATTCAGGTGTTTGACAGATAGCCAGGGGACCGCCAGGAGGCCCATGGGCGTACAGGTGTGGAGTTCAGAGGAAAGTCTTGCCTGGAGAGAGATTTGTGATTTCTCCGCAGATAGGTGAAGATGAAGCAATGTCAATGGATAACATTCAATGGGCGAGAGTATATACCATGAGAACTGAGAAAAGGACCTCAGACAGAGCCTGGATATCATCCACGTTTAGAAGAGTGACATAAGAAGAACTCACAAAGGAGACCCATGGGTGGTATGAGACAGTTATGTTGGCAATGACGGCGATTTATATTTTCATTTTCATGGTGGTTCATATGAGAAGACATGGGTTGTTGGCCTTCTTCTAGTTATTTTTCTTTGGGGAGGGGGTGGGGAAGATTTGGCTTTGAAGGTAAGTGATTCACCTAATTACAGCTGCTGGCCTGCCGGTTAAGTGTCTTGGCTGAAACAGTTCTCTAATTTCTCTAAGACTTGGCTCAAACTCAAACTTGGATATCTGGGGTCAGGAAGGAGAGGGCATGCCAGGCTTGGGGATGGTGTGAGCCAAGGTCTGGGCAGAGGAATGACTCCAGTGTTTCCAGGAAAAAGTAATTCATCCACTTGGCCTGGACGGGAAGGTCCATGTGAGAGGCAAAGTTATCACAGATTAGTCAAGTGAGACTTTGACCTATGACTCGATTGGGAAGTCCTATTGCTGTAGGACTTCCCTGATGGTTCAGTGGTTAAGACTCCGTGCTTCCAGTGCTGGGATTGCGGGTTTGATCCTTGTTCGGGGAACTAAGATCCCATATGTTGATAGCACAGCCAAAAACAAAAAATAATTGATAAATATTTATTGAATATTTTCTCTGGCCTGTGCTGGGTCATGTTGGCACACAAGACAGCCGAGGCCCTACCTGGGACTTAGTCCAAACAGAGATGATCCGGAGGAGACAGAGCTGGGATTAGGGAGCCCAGAGGGGCACCTAATTCAGCCTGGGAGGTCAAGGAGGGCTTCTTGGAGGAGGTAAAAATTAGGGAAGATGACTCCTGAAGAATGAGTAGGAAATAGGGAAATTAGGGAGCAGGGTAAAGTGTTGTGTAGAAGCAAAGTCTGGGTGGGAGTCAGCACTTACACTTGGGGACTGAGAGAAGCCGGTATAGAGTCTGAGCAGGTGGGGGAGAGAAATGAGGCAGGAAGGGTGGCCAGGAACCAGTCTCTGATGGGCCTTGAATGCCACGCTGAGTTTCTTGGATTTTATTCTGAGGCACTGGAGACCCATGGAAGAGTTGAGCAGAGGAGAGACAGGGTTCAATTTGAGTATTAGAAGCATCCTTCTAGGGCCATGTGGGAGGCACTGGGGTGGGAAGGTCAAGAATGGAAATGAGGAAGCCAGAGAGGAAGCTGATATTGAAGGAGGTCTGACCTGGTCATGGAGCTGGAAAGGAGGGCAGGGATCCTAGGAAAATTTAGGAGATAGGATGGGCAGAACTTGTTGCCTGGCTGAAGAGTGGGATAAGGAAGAACGGGTGTGCAGGGGAGTCCTCTAGCAAGATGGGTCTCTAGGACTCCTCCCGTGGGGTCTCACCCTCCTGCTCCTCCCCAAACAGGCCCAGATGCTACTGTTCCCAGAAACCGCTACCTGGAATGTGCTTCCTGTGCCTCGACGGACCTCAGCTGTGAGAGGGGCTGGGACCAGAGCCTGCAGTGCCGCAACTCTGGAGATAAGTGCGTGGATGTGATAACCCACCAGAGCCTGAAAGGTGAGCCCCAATGTGCCAACAGCTCCCCTTCCCAGCTTTGTTCCTCCCAAAGGCTGCACTTAACAACAACCCCCCAAATAATAGGGAGATAAGCAAGGTAGAAAGTTGGTACTCACACAAGAAGCCCAGTGATGGGAAGTCTAGGGCCACTAAGACAGTTCCACAGTCACCAGATGCCTTCTCATTTCTTACATGTTCCTTCCATTTGCCTCATGGTCCAAGATGGTTGCCTGAGCTCCAAACCTCATATCCAAGTTCCAGGAAGGAGGAAGGGAGGAAAGAAGGGGCAAAAAGGGGGTGGCCCTGCTTTTGTAAAGTCTCTCCTTTCTGCAAGTTCTGTAAACCTTTTTACTTAGATCATATTGACCAGAATTTAGCCACATGACTATACCCATGTGTGCATGCTAAGTCACTTCAGTCATGTCCGACTCTTGGTGACCCTATGGACCATAGCCCACCAGGCTCCTCTGTCCATGGGATTCTCTAGGCATGAATACTGGAGTGGGTTGCCCTCCTTCAGGGGACTTTCCCAACCCAGGGATCGAACCCGCATCTCTCATGTCTCTTGCACTGCCAGGCAATGCAGGTTCTTTACCGCTAGTGCCACCTGGGAAGCCCCGACTATACCCATGGAGGCTGGAATCTTGGTTAGATATGTGGCTGCCCCTCATACAGTAAGAGCCCTATAGTGAAGGATGAAAAAGATGGACAGGTGACAAATCCAGTCCCAGCTCCTCAGCAACAATCTAACCTCCTCTGTCCCCACAGAGAGTCCAGGGGATGAGCGCCACGTGAGAGGCTGTGGCATCCTTCCTGGCTGCCCAGGTCCCACCGGATTCCACAATAACCACACTTTCCACTTCCTGCAGTGCTGCAACACCACCAAATGCAATGTGGGCCCAGGTAAGGGGCCAGGGGACCTGGCATAAGACCTAGGATTGGGGGCAGAGAGGTGCATTCAGGTTGCTTGCTCACAGGTAAACCCTCCACTCTGCTTCCTCCTCTGAAAAAAAAAGGGGGGGCCCTATTAAGCCCTTTCTCAAGAAAGATTTTGTGGGAATTCAAGGAGACCATCAAAGCCTCACCAAGACCTGTGCTTTATGCTTCTACATCTTCTTGAATCCTTCCGCTGCCCACCACGCTGGTCCCAGCCATCATGGCCTCTCGCCTAGATTGTTACAATGACCTTGCTGCCCCTCCTGCTAACCTACAGCCTACATTCAACACAGCAGCAAGAGTGACTTTTTTTAAATGTAAATCAAAGCATGTCCCTCTTCCTCAAACACTTCAATGCCTTCTGCTTGCTTTTAAAATGCTGTCAGAAGGTTCTACTATGCTCTCTGTAACCCAGCATGTGTCTGCCTCATGGCCTTTGCACATACAGTACCCTCCACCAGGAACACATCTCCCCTAGGAGCTTGCCTGGCTGGCTATTTCTCCTTCATCAGATCTCAGTTTTAAAGCATCATCCTCAGGAAAGATGTCCCTATCTCTGCCCTCCCCGAGTATAATCTAGATCCTTTGTGTTATTCTGTCTCTGCAAACAATTATTGGCCAATAGGACTTTCCATGGTGATGGAAATTTCTGTATCGCCCAATGCAGTAAGCCTCTACTACAAATGGCTGTTGAGCACTTAAACTGAATTTTGGATTTCATTCCGTATTCATTTTAGTATTCATTTTAGTGTCAACGTAAGCAACCACATGTGGCTAGTGCCTATCATATGGGACAGTGTAGCTCTATTATTTATTCATTATTTCTTTTTATGGCTGCACTGGATCTTTGTTGCTGCCCATGGGCTTTCTCTAACTGCAGAGACAGGGCTACTCTCTAGTTGCGGTGTGTGGGCTTCTCATTGCAGTGGCTTCTTTTGTTGTGGGGCACGGGCTCTAGGGAACGCAGGGTTCAGTAGTCAGTGGTTCTCCAGCTCTAGAGCCCAGACTCCAAAGCTGTGGCCCCCACGCTTAGTTGCTCCGCGGCATGTGGGATCTTCCCGGACCAGGGATCGAACCCAGGTACCCTGCATTGGCAAGTGGATTCTTAACCACTGGGCCACTAGGAAAGTCCGGGGACAGTGTAGCTCTAAATCGTAAGTTCTCTGAAGGCAGGGACTGTTTCGCCTTACCCAGAGTCTAGGCAGGTGAGGGTTCATGGGGAGTTGGGAGTCAGGATTTCTGTCACAAGCCTCAGAGAACCACCCACCCCCCCAACCGCAACCCCCGCCCAAAGAGGGTGCTGTTCCAAGGTCTGACCACAAGGGAGCGCCATGACATCTCTGGCTGAGAGGTGGGAGTCCTGGAGACCTAATGGTGCGAAACCCCTTGGGCTAATTTCCTTGGTTTCTCTGTCATTGATCTTCTCCCAAGTCCTGGAGCTTCAAAACCTGCCACCAAACGGCTTGCAGTGTTACAGCTGTGAGGGGAACAGCACCCACGAGTGTTCCTCTGAAGAAACTTTCCTCATTGACTGCCGCGGCCCTATGAATCAATGTCTGGAAGCGACAGGCACTAAAGGTGAGGATACTTGGATACTTACGGGGGGTGGGGGTGGGGGGTTCTGCAAGAGGTAACCTCCTATGAAACTGGACTTAATTGAGGTGGATCATCTTGTTGGAAAAGGTAGGACTTCCTTCAGGAGGGTGCAAAGTGTAGCAAGGACTTTAGACTCCTTCATTAGGAAGCAGATATCTGCACTACAGACAAGTGGATTTCTTTGTGGGGGAGTGGAACTTCTGTGGGTGGATGGGACTTCAGTGGACCTCATGAGATTCCATCCTGGGATGTCCTGGGCAGGTTCCTCTATTCCAGAGCTTTTCAAACTTTGGGGTCTCAAATTCCTTGATGCTCTTAAAACTTATTGTTTGTGTCAGTTACATCTGTAGCTATTTACTGCATTAGAAATGAAAACCAAGAGACTTTTAAAAATGTATTTATTCATCTTAAAAGAACAATTGAAAACTCATGACATGTGAACATATTTTTATGGGGGGAAAAAAAATGAGACATTTTCCAAAATGAAAAAAAAGTGAGTGAGAAGATGGACATTGTTCTTTGCAATCTCTTTAATGTCTGGCTTAATAGAAAACAGCTGGACCCTCATATTTGCCTCTGCATTCAGTCTGTTGCAAGATCGCATGCCCTTGGGTTTCTAGGAAACCCCTTGTGAGAGCAAAAAAAAAAAAAAAAAAGGCAAATGAAGTTGTAGCATTATTATGAGACTAATTTTGACTTCACAGAGCCCCTGGAAGGGTCTGAGGGCAAGCCCAGGGGTCTCCAGACCAGACTTAGGACTGCTTTTTCCAGGTGGCACCCACCACGAGGTGGCACGTCACCCAGGGAGCACTCCAGTTTCCGGTCCCGAGAGCTCAGAGTCTCACATGGTCCATCTCTCTCTTCAGGACTGAGGAGCCCAAGCTACACCATCAGAGGCTGCGCAGCCCCCTCGTGGTGCCAAAGCCTCCACGTGGCTGAAGCCTTCGACCTCACCCACGTCAACGTCTCCTGCTGTACTGGAAATGGCTGTAACCATCCAGCCAGGGACGCCCATCCCCGCAAGGGGGGTGCCTCCCAGACCAGCCCTGCCCACCTCAGCTTCTTTGTCAGCCTGCTCTTGACTGCCAGACTTTGGGGAGCCACTCTCCTCTGCACTTGAACCCCACATTCCCACCACACTGGCTGGATCCAGGGGACCCCTTTGCCCTTCCCTCAGCTCCGAGCTGTACCAACTTGCTGTGTGACCTCAGGCCAGCGGGCTGCCCTCTCTGGGCCTCAATTTTCCCAGCTGCCCAGAGAGAGAACTGTGAGAACCAAAGGAGAAAAGCTAACAAAAGGCTGCGGGCCAGCAGGAGAGAGCTCATGTGATTATTGATAGTGTTGTGGCTATTGTTATTATTAATTAATATTTGTTTTATTTAATATTTTATACTGAAATAAAGATTTCTGAACCAGTGAACAAGGCCAGATCTGCCCTTCTCCAGAGAGGATGAATGGGGGGGGCACGTTCTCACAGGCTCCTGGAATTAGGGGGTCATATGGTAGGACCCAGGTATTTGAGACCCCGGCCTTGGGAGCTGTTCCACGCAGCTTTCCATCCAAAGCCACCTCCACATCTATTTCTGGCCTCCAAATGCAACTTTCCAACTCACCGACCCAAGCATTAACCTTCCAGTCTCTTCTCCCACATCCAAAGGTCAAGACTATTTTGTTGCTCTAAGGGGGCACGTCTGCGTTTCCTAGGGGGCTCTGAGACAGGAGATGAATAGGCGATGACCCCTGGGAGCCCTGCCATGAGGACTAAGGACAGGACTTCATCCCCCTGCTGCTCTGTGGGCAGAAGATAAAGGCTAGGCTATATTTCCTAGGATGCTCTCAGGCCAACTGAGAAAAAGCCAGAACTACCATTTCTTTTGTTTCTTTAAAAAAAAATTTTTTTTTTGAGAACTACCATTTCAATGGTACTCTTTGAGTACCACATGGCAGAATTCATGTTTTCCATGGTTTGCTGAGGCAAGCCTGCAGAGACAAAATTGTGTTTCCCCGGGACCCTATGGTTTAATGAAGAAAAAGAACATTTTCCATGGTATCTGGGGGCAGGTGGAGGACAGGGTTTCTTTTCTTTTCTCCATTTTTATTTGCTATTGGAGTATACTTGATTAATGATGTTGTGTGAGTTTCAGGTGTACCGCAGTATAACTCGGTTATACATATACACGAAAGTGAAAGTGTTAGCTGCTCAGTCATGTCTGACTCTTTTGCGGCCCCATGAACTGTGGCCCACCAGGTTCCTCTGTCCATGGGATTCTCCAGGCAAGAAAACTGGAATGGGGAGCCATTCTCCAGGGGCTCCTCCTGACCAAGGGATCGAACCCAGGTCCCCAGCATCATGGACAGATTCTTTACCATCTAAGCCACTAAAGAAGCCCCATTTTAAATATAGTGGTGTTATATGTTAATCCCAAACTCCCAACCGATCCCTTCGTCCCCACTCCAAGGGACAGGACTTCTTTTTTAAGATCTCCTCAAATCATATATCCAGGCTTCCCAGATGTCTCAGCAGTAAAGAAGCCACCTGCCAATACAGGAGATGCAAGAGACAAGGGTTCAATCCCTGCATCAGGAAGATCTCCTGCAGTAGGAAATGGCAACCCTCTCCAATATTCTTGCCTGGGAAATCCCATGGACAGAGAAGCCTGGGGTACAGTCCATGGGGTCGCAAAGAGTTCGACATGACTGAGCACATTCACATACAAATCATATATCACCAACTGTCATTGTGGTGACCTAAAAGGATGGGGTCAATATCACCTCTTGGACTTCCCTGGTGATCCAGTGGTTAAGACTACATGCTCCCAATGCAGAGGACCCAGGTTCGATCCCAGCTCAGGTAACTAGATCTCACATGCTGCAACTAAGAGTTCGAATGCCATGACTAAGATCCAGCACAGCCAAATAAATAATAATAAATTTTACAAAACTAGAATATGGTGGAAGTGGCACCATGGGAAGCCAATTGCCATGTTCTCCTGCACCAAGACTGCCATGCTCTGAGGACACCCAAGCTACTCATGCATGGATGCCACATGGAGAGAGAGCCCCAGAGGTTCCAAGCCATCTCAGCCCAGGCACCAGCCAAATGAACAAAGGAGCTACCCTGGGCATGGCAACCCTAGCAGATGCAAAGTGTGGGAGAACTGAGAAACCCAAATGATTTCATTTCCTAGGACTGCCATGATAAGTGACTACAAGCTTCAATGAGGTGGCTTCAAACAACAGAAATTCTGGATGTCAGAAACAAAAAAATTAAGGTGTTGGCAGAATCATGCTCCTTCTAAAGCTCTGGGGAAGAATCCTTTGTGGCCTCTTCCTTGCTTCTGGGTTACTGTTGTTCAGTCGCTCAGTCATGTCTTTGCAACTTCATGGACTGCAGCACGCCAGGCTTCCCTGTCCTTCACTATCTCCTGGATTTTGCTCAAATTCATGTCCATTGAGTCAGTGATGCCATCAAACCATTTCATCCTCTGTCACCCACTTTTCCTCCTGCCCTCAATCTTTCCCAGCATCGGGGTCTTTTCCAATGAGTCAGCTCTTCGAATTATGCAGCCAAAATACGGGAGCTTCAGCTTTAGCATCAGTCTTTCCAATGAACAGTCAGGGTGGATTTCTTTTAGGATTAACTAGTTTGATCTCCTTGCTGTCCAAGGGACTCTCAAGAGTCTTCTCCAGCACCACAGTTTGAAAGCATCAATTCTTCGGCACTCAGCCTTCTTCGCTGGCAATCCTCAGCAGTCCTTGGGTTGTGGCTGCATCCATCACTCCAGTCCCCGCCTGTCATCACATGACTTTCTTTCCTGTCAATATGGCTGTGAGTCTCCAAATCTCTCTCTTTGTATGAGGACGCCCATCATTGGATTTAGGGGCTCACCCTAATCCACTTTGACTTCATCTCAATATACCAATCTACCTTTTTTTTTTTTTAACTTTTTGGCTGTACCCCTCAGCATGTGGGATATTAGTTCCCCAACCACGGATCGAACTTGCACCCCCTGCATGGAAGTCCCCCTGTTTCCATATAAGGGCACATTCATAGAACCTGGGAGTTAGGATTTCAACATATTTTGGGGGGACACAATTCAACCCACACAGAACCAAGTTTTCTGATATATAGCCCCAGATGAAGCAGCTCATCCATCTCTGGCTGTTGGCCCCAGTCCGTTGAGGAGTCAATCCACACTGACCTCACTGTGCCTTGTTCAAACTCCTGACCCACAGAATCATAAAATAAAGAGGTTGTGGTTTCACATGGCTGAGTTTTGGGGTATTTTGTTATGCTGCAATGGTTGGCTAGAATAATCACTTGTTTGTCTGGTTTTTGCTAACTCTCCCCACAAGAATCTCCATAAAGAGTAAATCCTTTTACTTGCTCACTACTGTATTCCCATTTTCTAGATCAGAGCCCAGGACGTGAACAAAGGAGGAAGGGAGGGAAGGAAAGAGGACATCCTGGGTGGTACCTTACAACAAAACCTGGCCTAAGGCTATATTTCCCATGATACGTTTAAGCAGAGATGAGGCTAAGATGACATTTTCTGAGATGCTGCATAATTAAAATTGAGGCTACTTTCACCATTCTGCTGTGATTCCCTACAGCAGCAGAAACTTACTGAAAAGCGACCCCCACTTCCCGCTCCGCCACCCCCCGACCCTCCCGCACCAGTGAGTCCAGAAGTTTGTTGCAAGGCAGATTTTTATTCAATGGTCCAGGAATGGAGAAGGGGTCAGTTCAGTTCAGTCGCTCAGTCATGTCCGACTCTTGGGGACCCAGTGGACTGCAGCCCGCCAGGCTTCCCTGTCCATCACTAACTCCCGGAGCTTGCTGAAACTCCTATCCATCCAATCAGTAATGCCATCCAACCATCTCATCTTCTGTTGTCCCTTTCTCCTCCTGCCTTCAATCTTTCCCAGTATCAGGGTCTTTTCTAACAAGTCAGTTCTTCACATCGGGTGGCCAAAGTGTTGGAGTTTCATCTTCAACATCAGTCCTTCCAATGAAGATTCAGGACTGACTTTTTTTAGGATTGACTGGTTGGATCTCCTATGCTCTAAAGATACCTTCTCCCAGATTACAAGTTGGGGACAAGTTTTTTATAGAAAAGGGTGAAGAAGAGTTATTAGGGGCGGGGGTCTCGTGTCACACTGATTTGTGGAAATAAGTACTGATTTCCTAGAATGCACTCCTCTTTTCTGCCCCTGGGTGGCCCTTTGGTGGCTGGACAGGAATTGGATTGTACCAATATGGTTCCTGGGGTGGAGATTTTAATATTACAATGAGATGGTAATGAGCTGCAGAGCAACCCTTGTCCCAATTTTGAAGACCCATCAGCTTATACCGGTGTCTTGTGGTTAACGCTCTCTTGTTCCTGTCTTGTGAAAAAGAAAAAGAAAAAGAAAAAGAAAAAGCAGATAGAAGGTATAATCAATTCTGTGTGTGTGTGTGTGTGTGTGTGTTTTTAACAAGTTTGCCCGGAGTGAGGTTTTTATTAGAAACGAGAGGGAGTATGACTTCCTTACCTTTTTGTCTAAGGGAAGTGTACTTGTTTTATTGAGACAGTTGAGGTGTGGGTTAGGGACCCTCAGGTTGCTCCCCTAGGTGATAACTGGAGACTAGGATTGCATTCATCATGATACGCCCACAGCAGAGACTGGAGGCTAGGAATACATTTCCCACGATGACTTACAGCTGAAATTGAGGCTAGGACTGCATTTCCCATGAGACCCTGTGGCAGAGACTGGAGGGTAGGATTGTGTCTCCCATGATGCCCTACACTGTGGATCAAAGGATGGAAATACATGTCCCATGGTGCAGCTATTGAGGCTAGAGATAAATTTCTCATAAGGTTCTACACCAGACCTTGTGATCAGGACCTCATCATTAATGGCTCCCAAGTTTTTGTTCAGGGATCTCAGTTGCAAGAAATAAAATCTGTTTGAGCTGACTCAAGCAAAAAACGACAGCATTATTGGAAGTTTAGAATCCAGGCAAGAGCTAGGTCTCTGGGCTGCATCAGGGACAAGAAACAGAATTGAAAAGCTGGGCTTTTCAATTGTTGTTGTCTCCCTTTTGCAAAATCTCCCTCTCTGTGTCACTCTCTCTTACTCTGAGTGTGTGGCTTCCTTCATGGACTAGGCTTTCACCTTCTTTTTATCTCCTCACAGACCACCTCCTGCCTCAAACACAGTAGCCAAACATGCCCTTGAAATGTCAAGTACTAAGAACTACTTCTGTCTGGTTATAATATTTTAATGAACAGACTCTTCTCACTCTTCTCTGGTGGAGTCCAGTTTAGGTCAGGACTCTGCCAACAACCTCCTCTGCTATGGCCAGGGAAGTTTATATCAAAGTCACAACATACAGTTGTGCATGTTGTAAACAGGCATCTACCACTCAGGCAATTCTCATGGTAGGCAACCCACTCAGGCGGAGCTGAGAAAACAACCTCTATGAGAGAGAACATATCACAAGGATGGGGAAGCAACTGAAAAAGAAAACTACCACTTAAAATGTTTTAATCTGTAAGCAGGGCTGCCTCCATGTATTCTATCTGAATTGCAGGCAATATGGCAGTCAGGGCTGTATTTAAAAGGACACCCAACTCAAGATGGTTGAAACAAAGAGGAAATTGATGATCTCATAGAAGAGATCATGAGTTAGAGCAGTTCCTGGCTTGACTTATTAAATGTTTCCATTATGTCCTAAAGGATCCATTCAAGCATATCTGCCTCATGGCCCCAAGAAGGCCACTGCAGTTCCAGGCATCACACCCACATTTGGAAGCAATAACAAAGGGCCATCTCTTCTCTTCTTTGTTAAAACAAAGAAAGCTTATCCCCAAACTTCCAGGGTGACTTGCCTTTCCCGCGTTTTATTTGCCTGATTTGTTTCATGCCCCACCCCTTGCACTGGAAGTGGGCATGGAGCCACACTATTCAACAAAGTATATTCAGACCCTACTCCTAGGACTTCCGGCACATCAGCTGGCTGTTAAAGAAAAGTTGATGCCTGAACACAATCAGGATTCTCTTAGGAAAGGACAAAGGAGGAGGGAGCGTGTACTGGGGGGAAATGCCCACCCAGTCTTCTTTCTGTAGAGGGAGCAACTCGGCTTCTCCCTACTGTGTCTTTCTTCTGTGTCTCTCCTTGACTCTCTCTAGGATCACACTCACAGCACTTCAGGTCATCAAACGTGGGGAGCGCTTCCCCACACCAGGAAATTCTCTGTGACCCTGGCCGGCTGCTCTACGACATAATTCTGACACTGTCTACCCAGAAGTAGCCTCAGATCCCACAGATTAAGGACTCAGTCCCATACTTTCCACTTCCAATGACAATCAGAAGTCCAGACTGCGGTGCTTCTGACCGATCGGCTACAAACCAGAGGTTCCCATGATCCCCTCTTCAGGTCTGATCAACCCACTAGAGTGGCTCACAGAATTCAGGAAACCAGTGACTTACCTTTATTATAAAAGAATATGATAGAGGATACAGATGAACAGTCAGATGGAAGAGATGCACAGGGCAAGGTCTGTGCCCAGGGGCATACAGCTTCCATTCTCTTTTCATGCGTGTCACTTCATCAACCCACAAGCTCCCTGAACCCTATACTGTTGGGATTTTTACAGAGGCTTCATAACGAAGGCATCATGGATCCTTTGCTCCATTTTCCTTCTCCCGTCTCAAGAGAATGGGGAGTGGAGCTGAAAATCTCAAGTTTGTTATCATAGTTGGGTCTTTTTGGGTACCAGCCCTCATTTAGGAGTCCACCATAAGTCACATATTAGAACAAAAGACACTCTAATCACCCAAGAAATGACAAGGCTTTCAGGAGACCTGAGTTAGGAGAGCTAGGGTCAAAGACTAAATATTAGAACAAAAGCTGTTCCTGGTGTTCTTATCACTTAGGTAATTACAAGGGTTTCAGGAGCTCTGTGTCAGGAACCAGGGGCAGAGACCAATATATTTTCTATTATCTTGCAGAACGATGCTGAGAAAACAAATAACAAATTCTGAACCATCCCAAGAATGGTCAAGCCCACAGTGCGCAGCCCACCCTGCCACCCAAAATAGCAGGGACAGCAACTGTCTCCCCAGTATCTACTTCTGCTTGAGAAATCTAATTTCACCTCTGACCTGGGGGTAGAGGGAGCCTGTGGCTCACATCTAATTTAATCAGTTTCATCTCATCTCCTGGCCACTGATGTTGGTTCAGTAATAGGCAGGTGGCATTATCTGGACCAAGGAGACCCAATGGAAGGTTTCAAGGAGGGTTCTAAGGAAAAAAAATATTTCCTCATTCTGCTGAAGGAGCGTCTTCAAGTCTCTTATCTCTGCTCAGGATCCCACAGCCTGGCTCTCTCAGTCTGCCTGTCTTTTTCTCTCTGTGCTATGTGCTGTGCTAAGTCGCTTTAGTCGTGGCCAACTCTTTGCGACCCTATGACCCATAGCCTGCCAGGCTCCTCTGTCCACGGGATTCTCCAGGCAAGGATACTGAAGAATACTGCCATTTCCTACTCCAGGAGATCTTCACAACCCAGGGATTGAACCCACATCTCTAGCATCTCCTGCATTGGCAGGCGGATTATTTACCACCAGCGACACCCGGGAAGCTCAGGTATATACCTATGTGAGTGTGTGCTAAGTGGTTTCATTCGTGTCTGACTCTATGCGACCCCATGGACTGTAGCCTGCCAGGTTCAGAGGTCCAAGAGATTCTCCAGGCATAAATACTGGAGTGGGTTGCCATGCCCTCCTCCAGGGGATCTTCTTGACCCAGGGATCAAACCTGCATCTCTTGCATTGGCAGGCACTAGTGCCACCTGGAAAGTCCTTTTCTCTCTCTACCCCTCTGCAAATATGAAGCCCCAGATATGTGGTCCCAGGGGTATTGACCAGTCACCCTACTACATAAGGGGGCCATTTATCCTTAGGACAGATCATGCTGGAGTCAATCATACCCAAGACTTTTTTATATGTGAAACAATCCTCTTTTTCTTAAGCCAGTTGGGTTGAATTTTCTGTCACTTGCATGAAAATCCCAATGGATACAGTAACTTGGAGTAGGACTGGGACAGGACAACCTCATGTGGAAGAAAAGGTGGGGCCCAAAAAAGACAGATGAGAGCCAAACCAACATCCTCCAGGGTTCCCTGGAGTTGGAGTAGGAGACACTGGTTAGAACCATGAGTGGGGGACCTATAGGTTCTTGAGAGGAAAGACAACCCTTAGCTACTCCCTAACCCAGTATCCCAAATCCAGGTGGGACACCTCTCTCCCACCTATCTCAACACACAGACTGTGAGCTGTGGGAGGACTGGAGATTATCCAACCCAACACCTTTCTCCAGTTTACAGAAAGGTAAACTGAGAATTGGAAGGAAGTCACTTGGAGCTGTGGTCCTGGGCACATGGAGACTGATGGGAGCTTGGGTCCCATTGAGAGAGAGGATGCTGGGGACTGAGAACAGGAAGGATACCAGGAGCTGAAGTCCGATGGAGGGCCTGAATGGAGGAGTCTGGGGTAGTGATGGAGATAAAGCATTCTCATACTTGGCATATCCCAGTTTCCCTGATTGTCAAATGATGGTAGAAGAGGTTGAAGTCTCCTTCCTTCTATGGTTTCTCACTCTTCCTGGCTCATAAGGGTGATTGATAACCCTGCACCAGGTCTACAAAGTCCCACAGAAGGGGGCTCGGGGAGACTCACCTCCCAGGAGGGAAAAGGGACCCAAGTCTGGAGGAGTGAGTCAGCACCAACGATGGGAGAGTGCATAGACAGTCGAGGCTGGAAGAGTAGGGACGCAGGGTGGGGAGGCTAGACGCTTGGGCGTCCACCAGAGCCTCTCCCACCCCAGGAATGATGCAGAAACACGGAGTTTCCGGGTGAGGACCGGTGGAAGGGTGAGACCCGACCCCAGCCCAGCCTAGCCCTGCCCTGGGAGGTCCAGGACCTGCCCAGACAGCAGGCTGTTGCCTGCGCTCTCAAGGCGGCTCAGCTCACAGCCTGTCACATGACACTCTCAACCTCACACTCACCTGTCCACAGACTACGTCTCACTCTCACCTTTCCTATACCCCACTCCATGCTCACACCTTCACCTTCACTACCCCTCCAGAATACGTTCACTTCCCCTGTGGAATATGTGCACCCCCCCTTCACCTTCACCCACGGAATACCTCTACCTGTCCGGGGAGCACCTCTCCCACTCACTTTCCCCAGCAAACTCCCTCTCCCTGGACGCTCACAGCCTCACACACATCCTCACTCAACTCCCTCCCCTCCGCACCCACCCGCACCTTGGCGCATCCTTGCAACAGCACCCCCACCTTTCCTACGACACACTGCCCCTCACAGCACCTGCCCGCGCTCCCCTCCGCATCATCGCCCACCACTTCTGTCCTCACCCAGCGCCCGCACTCTCTGGCCGCGGGTCCCCCCGACACACGCCCCCTGCTCGCCCCCGCCCCCGGGGCCCCGGAGCTCTCGGGCGCAGCTCCCCCTCCGACTCCCCACATCCTCTAGAGGTGCCCTCTCCCGCGTTGCCCGGGGCCTCCCCGCGTCTCCCCGCCCCCGCCCCCGCTCCGGCCCCGCCCCCGCCCCCGCGCCGGCCCCGCCCCGCCCAGGCCTCGGCGCCCCGCCCCCCGGGCGGGCAGGGGGCGGGGCGCGGGGGGCGGGGCGGGCGGCGCGGGCGGTGCAGGTGCCGGGCCGGGAGCGAGCGGCGGCGGCGGCGGCGGCGGCACCATGGGCCGGGCCCGGCGCTTCCAGTGGCCGCTGCTGCTGCTGTGGGCGGCCGCGGCGGGGCCAGGTAGGGTCGGGAGCCGGGGTCGGCCGGCTGGCCGGGTCGTGGCGGGGGGCGCGCCGCGGTGACAGCCGGGCGGTCGCGGGGCCGCAGAGGCCGAACAATGCGCGCGGAGCCGGGCCGGGCCCCCCTCCCCGGGACAAAGCGCAGCGCGGGCCGGGAGCCGCGAGCCGGGAGCCGCGAGCGGGGGAGGGGGCGCAGGCCCGGCCACCGTGCCGCAGCCCCCCCAACCCCGCACAGGCCCTGATCCCGGCAGGGACAAAGGGCCCGAGACCCCCCTCCAGCCCCAAGCCAGCCTTCTCAAGGCCGGCCCCGCTGTCCTTCTGTCCGATCCCAGTGTCCCTCTGTCCGCCCGTCTCTGAGTCCCTCAGTCTCTCTCCTTGTCCCCCTACCCTTGTCCTCTGTCCCTCTGTCTCCAAGACTGTCTGTCTCTCCGTCTGTCCCCCTGTCTCCTTGTCTCCCTGTCCCCTGGCTCTCTAGCCCGTCTTTGTCCCCCACCTCTGTCCCTTGGTCCCTGTCCCTTTTCACTGGGTCACTCTGCCCGCCCCCAGCATCCTCTCCATTCCCTGCTCTGTGCCCCTGTATTTCAGCCCTCCCTCCCTGCCCTGTCTCTGTCACCCCTGCTGCTCTGTCCCCCATCTGTCCCATTCCCTTGTCCCCTCTCCTTCTGTCATTCCTGGTTCTCTAGCCCTCCCTGTCATCTGTCTGCCTCATTCCCCACTCTCTCCTGTCTGTCTGTCCCACTGTGTCCCTGTCCCCGGTCTCTTTGCTGCCCCTGTCTACCGTCACATCCTCCATCCTGGACTTCCCCATCACCATCCTTCATTTCTGCGTCTCTCTGTGCCCCTGGAGAGGAACTGAGTCGGGCAGGGCATCCTGAAGGGCCCTGGAGGGAAATGTGTGCATATGTGTGTGTGTGTGTGTGTGTGTATGAGAAGAAGTGTGTGGGGAACCTTGGCATGTGGGCACACACGTGGATCCAACAGATGCCTTCCAAATGCTGCCCCTCCCCAACCATTCACACACGCAGGCCACTATCTACAGAAAAGCCCCCTCCAGGACATCCAGGGAGCCCTCCACATACCCTTATCATGCACTCTGAAAAGCTGGAGTCCTCCAAGACAGGGTGACCCTGAGACCCAGGACAAGGTCAGGAAATGTCACCCCCCACACTCACACTCTCACATTGTGTGTGCCTGGTTCCTGCCACCAGTCACCCCCTCCCCGGTGGGGGAAGCCACTTGGGGTGGTGGAGAACGGATAACAGGGAGGTAGCTGAGCAGAAGTGGGAGGGCCGGAGGTCCTGTAGAAATGTGGGAGCTGTGACTAGATGGCACAGGTTTGGGGGCCTGCCTGGCTTTAAATTCTGGCTCATGCCATTTGCCAGCATAGCCAATGGCAAGCACCCTTCTCTCTTGGGGCCTCAGTTTGCCTTTCTGTAAAGTGAGGGTGTTGAACTCGGTGACCTGAAAGGAAAGGAACTCCAGCTTGGACACCCGAAGGAGTTGCTGGCAAGTTGGGTGCAGTGACACTTTCCCCACTCCAGAGCTGTGTGTGCTTCTCCCCTCCTCAGGGCAAAGTGACGGGCTGAGAGTGGGCCTGTCACCCTCCACCTTGCTTTCTGCTATAGTCTTCTGTCATCGCTTCAGAACTTTCACCATTACCTCCTTGCTTTGTGGCAGACAAGCCACAAGTTCCCGGATGGGCGCTTTAGTACTTAAGCTACATCTCCATCCACTTTTGTTTCTCTTTCTTTGTTAGGCCAGCTCATAGACTCCTAGAACCATTGAATCCAGTGAACAGAGAACCTGAGGTTTTAGAACCACTGGCTTCCAGAAGCCCAAAGTCTTTAGACTCTTGACACCTTTAAAATTCTAGAGCCTCGCTGGCATTTGCATTCTAGCCTCCTGACACCTTCAAAACTCTGAAACCTTTACCTCTCGGAGATCCCGAATCTTGACACATCTGAGGTCTAGAATCGTGGGAGATTGGATTCTCAGAATCCGAATACTGCCTAAGAGGACCACCTCCCCAGGTCCAGAATCTTTTCACCAGCTCTTCTGGGAGGGAGCTCTCCAGGCTTGTCCCTCCTGTGGTTTTAAAGTCTCTGCTTCCTGGTGCCCTAATCCCTTCTGTCAACTTTCTCTAGATGAAATGACGGGGGACTTTACCAGTTGGGAGAGAGTTAGGTGTCATGGGAAGCACTCTGCAACCGGCTAGGGTGTAGTTCTGGGTCTGCCCCTGCCCCATCCCACTCTGAGCTTCACTTCCCCTCCTGTAAAGCGTGGGGTAGGCAGCTGAAGTATCTGATCCCAGGGGGCCCTGCCTGCTTTCCTTTTCATTGGCTATTTCTGAATGGCTTTGGCCACCGGATTCTTGGTGGTGTCCGTGGTCCTCACCTTCCCCTCTTTGTCACTCCCCTTCCCCTCTCACCTTGGCCAGCCAGCAGGAGTGGGGACAGGAGCTGGGGTTCATTTACACCCTTTCAAAAATGTATTCTCTTCTCCCTGGCTCCCTTATCTACCAGCAATATAAGAAAAGGATGATGATATGTATGCCAATAGAAAGAAGGGTCCAGGGTGGGCGGGCAAGAGGGGTTGAGAGATGGATGGGTTGCCTGCCCAGAGATGCAGGCAGGCAGAAACAGAGACCCACAGGCCAGGGACTGGATGGCCCAGAAGGGAGCATGGGAAACAGACCTCCAGGTCCAAAGAAAAGATGAAGAGGCTATTAAGAGTGGAGTTGGGGGCACTGATGGAGGGAGAGTTTGTTAATCCTGAATAATGTTTCCCTCCGTAGGGACTCACTCTTCCCCACCTCGTAAAGTTTGGGCTGGCCACTCTGAGAAGCAGGGTTCTGCCTCTGGCCTCCACCCACCCATGAGCTGGATGCCTGTGTCCCCAGAGCAGGGGGTCAGGTTCCCCGAGGGATTCCAAGACCTTAGACGCAGCAGGGCTGGGGCCCGGGGTGGGTTAATGTCGTGCGAGCCTGGCCTGTCCCCGTCTTGGGGAACACAAAGGCAGCTTTCTCTCTCTGGGTGGGGTGGGGGTGGGGGGCCGGACTCGCCAGTGCCCAGTGGCCTGTGGCAGCACGACCTGAGCACCCACTGGCTCCCGCCTGTGCAGACCCCAGGCCCCTAGGTCCTCTAGAGGAACCAGGCACAGAGGCGCCTGAGCAGACACCCAGTGGGGCAAGAGGGCGGCGGCAGAGCCCGGGTTCTTCTGGACTGGGGTGAATATAGAGGGTGCTGGGGGTGGAAGAGAAGACAGCCAGGACTCAGTGCACCCTTCCCAGAGCAGGAATTCTTCCCCTGACCCCACACCCAGGGGGAACCTCCGGAGGACTCTCCCACCCCCTGACTGGGCTGGAGGCCCGGAATCCAGGGAGTTCTGAATATCCCAGGAACGTGGGGGCCACAGAGGGAACTTTGTATGCGAGGCTGCTGACTCACCCCGACGCCCCCACCTGATGCTTGCCTCACAGAGGGAAGGGGGACAAGAGGCCTGGGGAGTCAGGGCTGTGGTTCTGGAGGGCTGACAGCTGTGGCCCTGGAGCCAAAAGTTCCCAGGAGATCCTGGAGCTGGGGGCCTAGAGTCCTGCGTCTGAGGGAGCAGAAGTCTAGGGGTTCTGTGTTAGGGTGAGGAGGGGCTGGGGTCTTGGACTCTAGGTCTGAGGGAGGAGGGGGCTGGGGGGCTTGAACTCCTGGGTCCAGAGAGAGATGGGCATTGGGATCCCAGACTCCTGGGTCTTGATGGAGGGTGGGGCGCGAGTGCAGACTCCTGAGTCCTGAGAGAGGAAGTCCTGGGTGGGGGTCCCACTCCAGGTTTCTGAGGGAGGAGGGGCTGGGACCCTGATGCCTAGGTCCTGCGAATACAGGCGCCTTCACAAGGCTGAGCTGGGGAAGAATTGATGCTTTGTGTGAGGATGTTCGGACTCCGCCATTGATGGGGGGCTGGGGGGGGTTCGGTCAGGACGCAGGGATGTACCACCTCCCTAGGGGAGGATGGGGGGGAGGAGGCAGGATGCCATGAGCCCCCTGGGGAGAGGCTGTGGAGGGGGCGGCTGTGACCTTCCCGGAACTGTGACCTTGAGACTCCCTTGGGTATTCGCTGACTCAGGACCCAGGAAGTGCTCCCCCCACTCTCTTTAGTCTCCGTGGAAGCATCCACCAGCTGTGTAGTCTGGACCCCTGGTTCCTGAAGGAAAAGGGGGCTGAGGGCCCAGAATCCTGGGTTTGAGGAGGGAGAAGGCTGGGCGCTTGTGACTCCTGGATTTGAGGGGAGATGCTGAGAACCCAGATTCTTGATCCTGATGGAGAAGGAAGCTAGGACCTGGGACTCCCGGATCCTGGGAGAGGAGGCAGTTGGGGGGCTGGATTCCTGGGTCTAAAGGAGGAGAGTGTTGGATTCTGGGTCTCTACACATCACCTGCTCAGCCACTCTTTCCCAAACCCTCCCTAGTCCCATTTTTCCAGGCAGTTTAAAGGGCCAGTGCCCCAGTCACCAAAGCTCAACCCCTCGCTGACCAGAAAATCTTGCCTCACCACCCCCCAACCCCGAAACAAAAGCTCCTGGGACATTAATATTCCAGGCACAGACACTGTTGGTTACTGACTCCTCAGGAGGGGGAGGGAATAAAACAAAAGCCCCCCACCCTTACCCCATGTGCTCCCTCAAGCAGAGAGCAGGGGATACGTTTGGGGGGTGGGTTGCAGACCCAGAGGTCCTGAAGGCTCCCAAGAGATGTTGAGTTTCTGCCACTGACTTGTCTGGGACCCCTGAGCCTCATTCTCTGCATCTGTAAAATGGGGGGCTAGCCCTAGGGCTAGTCCTGAGGACCAGGATCCACGGATAGTCTTCAAGATGTTTTTTTTAAAAGTGCCTGGATGTGCAAACAGGCCAGTTCAGTTTTCACAGGAATAAGCATGTTTCTGGAGGTTGTAATAACAGCAGCACAGAGGGCTCCCTGAGCCTCAGGTTCTGGGCTGATTCTTGTGAATCAGGCCCTGGCGTCATCCCCACTTTACAAACGGGGCATCTGAGCCTCAAGAAGTTTAAGCCATTTGTCCCAGGTCACACAGATGGCAAGTGGTCCAGCTGGGATCAACCCAAATGTTTAAAATGAGAATAATGTCATGTCACAAAGTTGTCGTGAGGCTGAAATGCCTAGCACGTGAGATTCAGGCATCAGTCTCCCCAGACATTTATCAAGGGTCAAGCACACTTCCACGCACTAGGGTGCAGCAACAAACCCAAGAGATTACAATCCTGCCTTCATGGGGTGTATATTCGAGTAATGGGGGACAACCAGCAAGTGTGCAAATGAATAAAACAATTTCAGTGAAAGTTCCATACAGGATATAAAACAGTGGTGATGAAATAGAGTTCTGGGGACTTCCCTGGTGGTCCAGTGGCTAATGGTGGTCCACGCTCCCAATGCAGGAGGTCTGGGTCTGATCCCTGGTCTAAGTGAAGGTCCCACATGCCTTGGGGCAACTAAGCCCATGAGCTGTGACTACTGAGCCTGAGCACTCTAGAGCCTGTGCTCCACCACAGGAAAAGCCCACGCACTGCAACTATCCAGCTGATGTGTTAAGACTGGTCTTGTGGGGAGGCAGGTGTGGAAGTAGGGAGACTCACAAGTAGCTCTTGAAGGACCGGGTCAGAGATAGTGTCACTGGATGATGTGACAAAGGTGAACAGGTTTGGGATATATTTTAGAAGCAGAATGGATAGATCTTGCTGATGTAGTGGGTGTTAGAGATGAGGGAAAGGGTGAAAACGTGGATGATTTTTAGGTGTTTTGGCCTGAGCAACCAGGTTGTGACATTTACTGAGACTGAGAAAACATGGGAAGGAAAATGTTTGGTGCCAGGATTGGACATATTAAGATTGCTATTCAGGAAAGTGCTAGATAACCCCCTAAGAGGGCCTTAAATTCACAAAACATTACATTCAAAGGTAAAAGAAGCTGGAAGTTGGTATCCGAGGCTTTTATGACAGCTCCACATCATCACCAGAGACCCAGGCATCTTCCAGTTCTCAGTTCCCAAACTCCATCACATCCTAGTTTCAGGCAGCACAAAGGTGACCAGGTGGAAAAAGGACTTGTCCCCTTTCTTTAAAAAGTCTGCTTGCAACTTCCATGGTGATCCAGTGGCTGAGACTCCGTGCTCCTGATGCAGGGAGCCTGGGTTTGATCCCTGGTCTGGGGGCTAGATCCCACATGCCACAACTAAGAGTTGACTTGCTGCAACTAAGACCTGGCATAGCAAAAATAATTTTTTTAAAAGTCCCCTCAAATGATCACAGGACACTTTTCCTGATATCTAGTCGGACAAAACTATATCACATGGCCTCACTTAGCTGCAAGGGAGTCTGGGAAAATTCTCTTTCTGCTGGATGTAGGGCAACCGTAAGGGCTTCCCAGGTGGCTCAGTGGTAAAGAATCCACCAGCCAATGCAGGAGACACAGGAAATATGGGTTCGATTCCTGGGTTGGGAAGATCCCCTGGAGGAGGAAATGGCAACCCACTCCAGTATTCTAGTCTGGAAAATCCCATGGACTGAGGAGCCTGGTGGGCTGGACAGTCCATGGTGTGGGGCTGCAAAGAGTTGAACATGACTTAGCTGATGAGCACAGCACAGGGCAACCACAAAATACAATCAGGATTCTTTTACTAAAGAGAAAGGGAAGAGTGTATACTGACTAGGAAGCTAGCTGTCTCTGCTTTCTTCCCGCCTCCGGAATTAATCTTTTCCACCCTTCAGCCCCCAAATCAGGTTACCTATCCCTCTTACAGGGACTGAAACACTTCTGATGGGATTTTACAGTGATTTATGTCTACCTCCCCATAAATCTTGAAGGCCTTGCAGGACAGGGACTTCACCTGACTCATCCCTGGGCACCTAACCCCCAAAAACCTCCCTGCAGCACAAATGAATGAATGAGACAGAATGTAAGAGATATGAAAGAATAGTTATCCAGAATTTAAAGGTGAATAACCAGGGACTTCCCTGGTGGTCTGGTGATCCTGCCTTCAGAGAAGGAAATGGCAACCCACTCCAGTACTCTTGCCTGGAAAAGTCCATGGACAGAGGAGCCTGGCGGGCTGCAGTCCATGGGGTTACATGACTGAGCATGTGTGCACGAGGGTGGAGGGAGATGGGTTGGTAGCAATAAAGTGGTAGAACTGAAAAAAAAAAAAAGACTCCTGGCTTCCAGTGCAGGGCGTACAAGTTTGATCCCTGGTCAAGGAACTAAGATCCCATGTGCTGCATGGCATGGCCAAAAAAAAAAAAAAAAAGTGAATAATCAAATCTGATCATGGCCCTTTCCTGCTTCAGTTCCTGGCCTTCAGGATAAAAGCTGATCTTGTAGCTTGGCTGAGACCCTTCACAAGCACATGCCACAGTCCTCACCAATGCTGGACACCTTTCACCCAGACAAGCAGAAGTGGGTGTGGGTGCAGGATGCAGAATTGGGAGACCTTGAGGCAGAATTGGGAGACTCTCAGGCTGTGACCTTGGCCAAGTCATTTTCTCGCTCTGGAACAAATTTTGTCACCTAAAAAATGAGAACTGAAAAAAAAAATGGGGATTGATAATAGTGCCTCCCTTATTCAGGTATTGTGATGATTAAGTGGAAATTATATAGGTAATGCCCTTAGCACAAAGCCTGGAACAGAAATTGCCTAATAAACAGTTGCTATGATGGTTATTGTTATTTTGAAGATGACAGTGACATTGATGATGCTGGTGATGATTAATCTCAGCTTTGAGCTTTACTCTGCACTGTTTACTTGGCTGGAAACACCCCCTTACTAATCCCTTACTTCATTCCTCTGATGGATTAATCAGAGTAAGTTAAGTGCTGTAACAACAGCCCTGCAATCTCAATGGCTTAACCAAAAAATGTATTTCTCGCTCATGCTACAAGTCCTCTGCAGGTAGGTAACACGGAGCAGAAGGTCAGGGCCTCGGACTCCTTCCAGCTCATAATCCTATTCTCCTCTGGGCTCCTAGGGGTCCCCCCCATTCTGCCAGCATGAAGGATTTCGGGTGAGATGAACCAGGCTGGAGGAGGTGTTTTCTTCTGCCTACAGCCTATTGGCCAGAAATCAGTCATGGGGCCCCACAGAAGCACAAGGGATCCTAGGAAATGTAGCCTAATAGTGTGTTGTCCCTTGAGGGGACTGGTAAAGAATCTGTCTGCAACGTGAAAGACCTCCTGGGTTTGAACCCTGGGTTGGGAAGATCCCCTGGAGTGGGTACGGCTACCCATTCCAGTATTCTGGCCTGGAGAATTCAATTCTGTACAGTCCTTGGGGTCACAAAGAGCTGGACATGACTGAGTGACTTTTACTTCAGTGTGTTGTACCAGTTAATTTTAGCCATGTTAAGTGAAGTGAAGTGAAGTCGCTCAGTCGTGTCCGACTCTTTGCGACCCCATAGACTGTAGCCTACCAGGCTGCTCGGTCCATGGAATTTTCCAGGCAAGAATACTGGAGTGGGTTGCCATTTCCTTCTCCAGGGGATCTTCCCAACCCAGGGATCGAACCCAGGTCTCTTGCATTGTAGGCCGATGCTTTTACCATCTGAGCCACCAGGGAAGTCCCTCCAAAACATTGTGACTTTGAACAGCAATTATGTTTTTGCTCATGACTCTGGGAGTCAGCAGTTTGGATTGGATCAACTGGACACTTCTTCTCTTGGTCTGAACTGGGGTCACTCATGTGGCTGCAGTCACCCGGTGATGCCACAGGGGCTGGATAGTCCAGAATGGCCTGACTCCCGTGGCTGGCATTTGGTGCTGGGCTTCTCTCTCTCCGTGTGGTCTCTCGTCCTCAAGGAGGCTGGCCCGGGCATCTTCACCCAACAGTGTCAGAGCAGCAAAAGGGCATGAGTGGAAGCTGTGAGGTCTCTTGAGATCTAGGCTCCAGAACTCATTCAATATCACTTCTAGCAAATTCTGTTGATCAAAGCAAGTCACAAGCCCTCCCCAGGTTCACAGGGTCAGAGTGCTTTGTTAATGGGAAGGGCAGCAGGAATTTCCCTGGTGGTTCAGTGGTTGTGGTTAAGATTCTACACTTCCACTGCAGGGGGTGGGGGCTCAGTCCCTGTTTGGGGGACTAAGATCCCACAAGCTGTGCTACATAGCCTTAAAAAAAAAAATGAGAAGAGCAGCAAACTTAACTCTACAGGAATGGGAAGAATATCTCGCCCATCTCTGCAGACAAGTTAAAACATGTGCTCAGGTGTGAAAGATGGGGTTTGGTGAACACACAACAGTTTCCCATACCCAGTGGATTGCTCACTCTTTATTTATTTATTTATTTGCTCACGCTTTAAAATGTGGATCCAGTGGAGCTTTCTTCTAGAATCTTCTCTGATCACTTATCTCCCTGGGTGCTCTTAGTCTCCACTTCCTCTGGGCTCCCAGTATGACCTGTGCTCCCCCACCCACCCACTCCTTAGAGCCACTGGATCTTGACTGCAGCTCCTCTAGAGCAGGGAGCAGGTTTTATCCGTCTCCTGGATTCCAGCCCACAGGAAACGTTGGGTGTAATGAACTGCATGGGAAGGAGAGGTATTGGAAGTTTGGATGGGTGAGGATCCGAGGGAGAGAGCAAAGACTGAATTGTACCCCTCAATGAGTCTCTTACCCTGTTTCTCTGTCTACTGGTCCAGGGGCAGGACAGGAAGTACAGACGGAGAATGTGACAGTGGCTGAGGGCGGGGTGGCCGAGATAACCTGCCGACTGCACCAGTATGATGGATCCATAGTTGTCATTCAGAACCCCGCCCGGCAGACCCTCTTCTTCAATGGTACCCGTGGTGCGTGCTGGGGTTCCAGAGCCTGAGTCTTGGAAGAGGAGAGGGCTGGGACTGACTGAAGACAGAGCTGAGACTCTGGTCTCCTGGATCTGAGGGAGGAGGAGGCTGGGGCCTGGACTCCTGGTCGGGTGAGAGGGCCTGAAACATTCTGGGTACCCAAGAGAGTAACTAGGTGGGCACCTTAGACACCTGGGTGTGGCTGGAGAAAAGAGAGGGACGAACTGTAAGCTCCTGAAGGAAAGGTGGGACTTCTGAAGTACGGATTCCCCAAGTTCACTCCCACCTTTTCACTCTCTAGCCCTGAAGGATGAGCGTTTCCAGCTTGAGGAGTTCTCCCCGCGCCGGGTACGGATCCGGCTCTCAGATGCTCGCCTGGAGGACGAGGGGGGCTACTTCTGCCAGCTCTACACAGAGGACACCCACCACCAGATTGCCACGCTCACTGTACTGGGTAACGGCCTCCCCCTCCTCAGATCCAGCCTGTCTCCTTTCTCCTTTGCTCATCCCTTATCCTGAGACTTGACCCTGGCTGTTTTTAACCTCCTGGACATCTGCTCCCAGTAAATACAGCCGGTTTCCCCGGCCCTTGGCCTCTGTGTTTGACGCTTTGTTCCCCTTGCTCCCTGGAACCCTGCAGTTGGTTACTCTGAGCCCACCTTGGTCCCTCTCTTGACCTCCCTCTTGTCCCCTTCTCCCTGTGGCAGTGGCCCCGGAGAACCCTATAGTGGAGGTCCGGGAACAGGCGGTGGAGGGCGGCGAGGTGGAGCTCAGCTGTCTTGTTCCACGGTCCCGCCCGGCTGCTCTCCTGCGCTGGTACCGGGACCGAAAGGAACTGAAAGGTACAACCTGGCGGTGGGGATGGGAGTGGGCTGGAGAGGGGCGAGACTTATGAGACAGGGTTCCAGGAGGTGTGGCTTGGGAAAGGCTTGTTTATATATGGATGGGGCTTGAGGAAGAGTGCATGGGTTTGATGGACACTACTGCTCAATATATTGGGCTTCCCTGGTGGCTCAGTCGGTAAAGAAATTGCCTGTAACGCAGGAGAACACCTGCAGCTCAGGAGACCCACGTTCAATCCCTGGGTTGGGAAGATCTCCTGGAGAAGGAAATGGCAACCCACTCCATTCTTGCCTGGAAAATCCCATGGACAGAGGAGTCTGGCGCGCTAACAGTCCATGGGGTCGCAAGAGTCGGACATGACTTAGCGACTAAACCACCACTCAATATATACCCATTGAATGAATTATTAGATGAGAGGGCGTGGGGTGAGAGAGCAAGGAGCTTTGGGAAGAGACACGGGGTTGTGGGCCTGATTTGGAGAGGGGCGTGGTTCGGAGGACTAGAGGCGAGGCTGTGGGTAAGGGGTGGAGCTTGTCAAATAGCCTGCTTTAGGACTGGCCAGGTGGGAGGTTGTGCCTTCAGTGGGCGGAGCCATAGCCCTGACTTGACGGTTTCTGGGCGGGGCTTGGCAGGAGTGACCAGCGGCCAGGAAAATGGCAAGGTCTGGAGTGTGGCAAGCACAGTGCGGTTTCGTGTGGACCGCAAGGATGATGGCGGTATCGTCATCTGTGAGGCGCAGAACCAGGCGCTACCCTCTGGACACAGCAAGCAGACGCAGTACGTGCTGGACGTGCAGTGTAAGTGCCTGGCAGGCCAGCGCCCGGCGGGGAAAGAGGGTTCCAATGCGCCTGCCACCTGTCCCCGGAAGAATTCCTAGTCCTGCATAACCCAGATAACCACTTTCCCATCTCACTCCTGCCCACAGACTCCCCCACGGCCCGGATCCATGCCTCCCAAGCTGTGGTGAGGGAGGGAGACACACTGGTGCTGACGTGTGCTGTGACGGGGAACCCCAGGTGAGCTTTGGGGTCCGAGATTCCTGGGTCCTGCGGAGAATAGGTGACCTGAACACCTGAAGCTGGAAGAACAGAGGGGGCTGAAACCCAGCCTTCTGAATCCTGAGAAAGAAGGGATCTGGGGCTAGATGGTGAGGAAGGAGGCTGTGGGTCCCCAGTGTCCTGGGTTCTCAGGGTGGAAGAAGCTGGGGGTGGGGGTGGGGCTAGGCTTCCTGAGATCCTGCTGATGGGTGGAAGTTGGGCTCGGGACTCTTGGTTTTCAAGGAAGGAAAAGTCTAGTAAGGATTCTCTTATTTGGAGATATCGCATATCTAGATTTCTGAGACGTCAGAATTGGGTGCTGAGACCTGCGTCCCTACCTCTCATTATATCCCCGCCCAGGCCTAACCAGATCCGCTGGAACCGCGGTAATGAGTCTTTGCCCGAGCGGGCGGAGGCAGTCGGGGAGACGCTTACGTTGCCGGGCCTGGTATCCGCGGATAATGGCACCTACACCTGCGAGGCGTCGAACAAGCACGGCCACGCGAGGGCGCTCTACGTGCTCGTGGTCTACGGTGAGGACCTGAGGGCAGGGCTCAGCGTAGGGACGAGGCCCCCCGGGGTCTCCTCGCCGTCCCGGGTGGGACTGGGCCTTGGGAACAGGCAGCATGGATTGGATGGTGTTTGAGGCGCCGACCTATGCAAAGAATGATTCCAGGGGGTCAAAAGCCCACAGAGTTCTTATTGTTCTGGGACCAGACTGATTGTCTGGGTTCAGATTCAGTTCTGCAGCGTCCTGTTGCAGGTAACTTTGTGCCTTAGTTTCCTCATCGGTAAAGTGGAAATAAACAACAGCACCTACCTCACAGGGTTGTTGTAAAGAATTTTGAGCTAAATATAGAAAGCAGTTGGAGGTCGCTAGCACAAAGAAGTGTTATGTGTTTAGCTCCTATGACGGTGCGGCAGGAATTTTGGAGTGGCTGGGCCCTAGATCAGCGGTTTAAATACCTGGAGCGTTTTAAACAAGATGCGAAGAGACTTAGGTCTGAATTCAAAGAAAAAGGATGTGCTATTTCTTTTTCTCTGGGGGGAGGAGGCAGGTAAGTATTAGCGAAATGACTGGGGCCCAAGTCAGGCAGTGTACAAACCAACACGCATTCCTTGAAGAAGTGGAACATCAAGAATGGCGCCAGGAGCTCTGCTCAGTGGCAGTGTTGTAGCCAATGAGGTTTATCCGAGGCGCAATTATTGCTAATTGGAAAAAAAAAAAAGGCGCCAGGGGAAGGGCCCACCAGGTGGCGGTAATTTGCGAGGCGTGGCACATAAGGGGGCGCGGTTGGACATGGCGTGCAGAATGGTTTAAGACATTGCCAGCTATGGGCCCGGGCTGGGACCATCCTCTGATGACCTGGGCCTGCGCCCTGTCCCTCTGGCAGACCCTGGTGCGGTGGTAGAGGCTCAGACGTCGGTGCCCTACGCCATTGTGGGCGGCATCCTGGCGCTACTGGTGTTTCTGATCATCTGTGTGCTGGTGGGCATGGTCTGGTGCTCGGTACGGCAGAAGGGTGAGTGGGGGCGGGGTCAAATTCAGCGACGGGTGTGGTTGGTTGTGGCGTCCAGAAGGGGGTGAGGCCTAGAACCCGATTCGACAGCGGGCGGGCGTAGAGCCAGGGCAAGGGGGCGGAGCCTAGACCCAGGATTGGAAACTTGAGACCCAGATCCCGAAAGAGGCGGGTCTTTCGGTCCAGGATCCTAAAAGGGGTGAAGGGTTGGAGCTGAATAAAGGGCGTACGTTTGAATTCCTAATTGGCGAATTCGGTGGGAGCAGAGCAAGGGGATACCACCTAGAGGACGGATAAGGGTTGATCTTTCAGTGAACTTGTGAAGTCCTCCTCATTCTGCTTTTCTCTCTTTCTCTGCCCGTTTTGCTCTTCCCTGGACTTGACCCTCAACCTGTATGTTCCATCTCTTCATCTTCATCTGATGTATTTTGTCTGCCTCCCCGTCCAACTCCTGGGTCCACACGTATCTGTGGCCTCTGCCGGGGGGGGGGTCTGTCACCCCTCAGGCTCCTATCTGACCCATGAGGCCAGTGGCCTAGATGAGCAGGGAGAAGCGAGAGAAGCCTTTCTCAATGGCAGCGATGGACACAAGAGGAAAGAAGAATTCTTCATCTGACCCCACCTCCACCCCAGGCCTGGGCCTGGGCTGGGGTCCACCCCACTGCCAGCTGCAAAGACATTTACCAGAGTCTGGGATGGTGGGCTTCTCCCCCTACCACTAACACCTCAGACGCTTGGACAGGGATGGGGGTGTTGGCTGCCTGGGTCTCTACAAGGGCCGGAAGCTCGGGCCCAGAGGTCTGGGTCCCCCGATGTGGGGGCAAGGGCCAAAGGTCCAGACCCCCTAAGTCCAGGGAGGGCGGTAGGGATTGGGTTGGGGTAAGATAACTGGGGGAAGGCCAAGGCCCCTAGGCTGCAGTCCCAGGTCTTGTGGGGAGGGGTCACATTCTGGGAAGGGTGGGGTGGGCAGGGAAGGGGAACAGAGATTTCTTTGGGGGTTCCAGACCCCATGCCAGCCATTGTAGGAGTTCACAGAGCTCTGGGCACCTCTTTGCAAAGCCATGTTTGCACGGTGGGGGTAAGGGTGGGGGGAGGGCATGGAAACAGGGATTCTGTGTCTTTGTGTCATAACTTTGATGGGGGCGGTGAGGGAGACAGCCCCAACTTTGCTCCAGTCCCCTTTCCCCAGCTCCTGGGCTCTCCTCCCCTCCCCCCCCCCACATCTGTCCCATCCATTTTTGTCTCTGTCCACCCACTCCTGGGGGGGCCTTCCCCATCTCTCCTCCAGGCCCCCCGGGGAGGGGTAAAGGAGTCTGGGGGGAGGGTGCATTGCTCTCTATGGTTTTATATATAATATATTAAAAAAATAAAAAATCTGTATGAAAATATCAGATTGCACCCCCTCCCCCCATTCCTGGCTTTTGCCCCCTTTTTCTTGTTTAAAAAAAAAAAACAAAAAAACACATTTTGTATGGGGCGGGGAGGGGAAAGGGGAGGGGGTTTGGCAATCCCACTAACCACCATTAAACTGAGGAGAGAACAAGTTTTTGGGGTGGCTGTGTGTCTGTCCCTCTGCCCAGACCTGCACCATGTTGGGAGGGGTGCTGGACTAAGGGGTGGGGGGGGGGGGGAGGAAGGCTGATGATTGCTGGTGGACTGTATAGGTCAGGAGAGGGTCCTTACATCTCCAAGGACACCTCCACCCTCCCAAGAAACCTGGGTTTTTTCTGGTCAGTCTTTCAGCCAAAAAGCACTGTCTTGTCCCTTCAGTAGCCACTGAGCTACCCTATCCCCACCCAATAGCCTGGACACTTCCCCTGCTTTATTCCCGCCCCTGACATCAATCTCCAGAGGACCTTTCAATTACTCACCTTTTGCCCTGTCAAAACCTGTCCCTGCCAGCTCTCTGTTCACCTCTAGACCAAGTCAAAGCTCCTTAGCCTGGCATTCCTGGCCCCTCATTATTCATCTAAATTTTAAACAAGTGATTCTTATTTTCAAGTAAAAAATATATTAACCTTACTTTGTACAAGGTGCTGCTCAAAGGGCTGGAGATGCCACGGTGAATAAAACAGGCAAAAGCTAGATGTTCCAGACAGCTTAGTGCTAACTACAGACTTGATCCTGTTCTAGGCACTGAGCACCCAAAGTGAAAAAGAGTGACTCCATTCTTGCCTTCTTTCCTTTTATGAGGAAAACATTCCAGCAAGGAAGCAAAACAAACAAAACTCAATTTCAGGTTGCCTTAAGTGCTGTTGGGTTTCCTAGGTGGCGCAATGGTAAAGAATCTGCCTGCAGGAGACACCAAGAGGTGGCGGTTAGATCTCTGGGTCGGGAAGATCGCCTGGAGTAGGAAATGGCAACCCACACCAGTAGTCTTGCCTGGAAAATTCCATGGACAGTGAAGCCTGGTGGGGTTACAGTCAAAGGGGGTGGCAAAGAGTTGAACATGACTGAGTACACACGTACACACACACACACACACAAGTACTGTTAAGATAAAAGGCAGAGTAAGGGGATATGGGGTACTGTTTTAACTTCTTACTATAGAAAACATCAAACATACAAAAGTGGAACAGGACAATTAAGCCCCATGCATCTGTCAATCCCAGCTTCAGCAATCATCTCACTGGCTCTGAGAGCCAGTCCTGCTTTATTCATAACCCACTCACTTCTCTAGAGTCAATCCAGAGGTGCTATCTCAGAAACATCAGAGAAAACCTCTCAGATTGACACCTCTGCCAGGATATGAATGATGAGCAAACAGTTATTCAAAGATCAGAGGAGAAAGCATTTTCAGGCAAAGGGAACAGCAACGGCAAGTGCCTAAGATGGTAAGCCTCAGGTAGACAGGACCCCAGTGGATAGAGGAGGGGATGGGGGTGAAGTCAGAGATGAGTGGGGTTAGACCAGGTGTATAGCCCCTGAAAAGTGAAAGTTGCTCAGTCTGTATGGAATTCTCCAGCCATTTCTACTCCAGGGGTTCTTCCCAACCCAGGGATCAAACCCAGGTCTCCCACATTGCAGGCATATTCTTTACCAGCTGAGCTACCAGGGAAGCCCAAGAATACTAGAGTGGGTTGCCTATCCCTTCTCAAGGGAATCTTCCCAACCCAGGAATCAAACCGGGGTCTCCTGCATTGTAGGTGGATTCTTTACCTGCTGAGCTACCAGGGAAGTGAAAGTGTTAGTGGCTCAGTCCGGTCCGACTCTTTGCGATGCTATGGACTGAAGCCCACCAGGCTCCTCTGTCCATGGAATTCTCTAGGCACGAATACTGGAGTGGGTTTTCATTCCCTTCTCCAGGGGATCTTCCTGACCTTGGGATCGAAGCTAGGTCTCCTGCATTGCATGCAGATTTTTTAACTTCTGAGCCGCTAGGGAAGCCCCAGGGACCTGATAAAGCCTTTGATTTTCTTTCCAAGTGTAATGGGATCTCATTGGAGAGTTTTCAATTGGAAAGTGAGTCATTTTGAGGAAGACTTAAGAATGCTGCAATAGCTTCCTATACTCTCAACGTAAAGTCTGAGCTCTTAACTTCACCTGGAGGAACTTCCCCTCCCTGACTGTGTTCCTGGCAAACTAAACTGCTTTCACTTCCTCAAACCATTCAACGTTTTGTTTTTTTTTTAAATTTGCCTCTAGGCCTTTGTCCTTGCTCTTCCCTGTGCCAAAGACTCCCTGGGGTGTGCGCCTCCTGTGACTCCCACAGCTTCCTCTGCTCTACTTCATCCCAAGCCTAAGCACTCAGTTGTGATCCTGATTATATGTGAATCTCCTTCCTTTGATTGGGAGGCCATCAGCATAGATGCTGGGTACGCTCGCTGCGGAAACCATAGTGCCCTCGAGCACAAGAGAACAATAAATGTTTATCCTGCTTGTGGGAAGGGAGGGTTGTGAGGGTTGGTAAGGGTCTCGTCCCTTGTGTCCAGACACCGAATGCAAACTGATCCCAATTACACCGAGGATGCCCGCTTCGCGCTAGTCCGCAGTCCCTCTGCGCATGCGCTAGAGTCAGCCGCCCCGCCCCATGCCCACCCCAGTACACCCCGCATATGCTAATCTCTGCGCTCCGGAGTATGGCCCCTCAGGGGAATATGCAAATCAACCCCTCCAGCGGCCTAGGCCTCCCATTGTCGCCGTAGCCTCCCACACTAAGATTATGCAAATGAGCAGGCCTCAGGTCCAGGATCCGGCACCCCCACCCCACTCTCGCAGCATCCTATTATCCGTAGGCGCGTTCATGCGAGCGCTCATGCACGCGCGAGCCTTGCCGTTTTTCTAGTTCGGTCCGGCTGCGGACTGTACCAAGTAAACCCGGACAGCGAGGGGCAAAGCCCGGAACCCCCTGCGCGAGCCTCATCGATGGCCCGACCCAGAAAGCCCCCTTTCCCACTCTGCGACAGGAATGGTCTATTTCGTCGCGCAAGCGCCCTAGGCTCTTCACGCCCCTCGCACTCCCTCCTACCCCACTCGCAGCGCAGGCGCAGAGCCTGGGCGTGCAGCCGCTGCCGCCGAGCCAGAACTGGGGCCGCCAGCGCCGGTGAGTGTCCGGGATGGAGGTGCGCGGGGCATGCTGGGAAGCGGGCACTACGGCAGCGCTGCATGATGGGAGTGACGGCTCCCGTCACCGAAGAGTCGGCAGCGGTCTTGGGCCGTGATGACTCGAAGGCGAGACCCAGGCTCCCTTTTCTCCCCCCACGCGGCTCTGTGCCGCTCTGGGGGCATCCTGGGAAAACCGGACGCCGTGCCCTAAAGCATTGTGGGAGTTTGGCTACTAATCGTTAATGGGTCTGGAGCATTCTGGGATTATCCTAGCTTCTTGCGGGGAACCGTCTCTTTTGTCACACACCTTCCGCTGAGCGTCCTGGGAGATTGGAGTGCTTTGACGGAGAGCGCCTTGGAAGGTGGTCGTTACAGGCCCAAGGCATCCTGGGAGAAATTGCAGTAGCAGGGCTCTGTGGGGACTGCTCCTTATAGTCCTAAGGTTTTGCTCTTGCTTCCTCTCCCTGGCATTGTGGGAACAGGTGCCCATTATGTTCGCGCTTGGCTTCTTGGGATTTGGACATTGTGGGGTCTCCAGCACTGTGTTATGGTAGTGAGGGAGTCTCATTTATTCCCCTCTACGATTGTGGAAGTCAGTCTGGCCCCCATTGTCATTGTAGGAATGGGACTTGAGCACCAAGGAATGTTTCCGTCTGACATCTGGAATACTCTGGAAGGGGCTTAGTGTGCTGTGGGCTTGGGGAAGGGTAGACAGGACTGCTGAGCAATGTCTCTTGGTAATCCCATAGGAAGCTGATTGTCCCTGGTGTATGGTTCCCAGTTAAAGTATAGACCACCCAGTTAGATTTGAATTTCAGATAAACAAAGAATTGATTAATATACCTATGTTCCATGCAGTATTTGAGATGTACATTTCTAAAATATCATGTTTATCTGAAATTGAAATTTAACTGGGTGTTGTATATTTTCATTTACTAAATTTGGCAACCTACCCTGGCATGAAGTAGAATTCCCAAATTAAATGGGGCCCTATAGGCAGTGGGCGTCCCTGGTAGCTCAGATGGTTAAAAAAAAAAAAAAAATCTGCCTGCAATGCAGGAGATCCAGGTTCAATTCCTGGGTTGGGAAGATCCCCTGGAGAAGGAAATGGCAATCCAGTATTCTTGCCTGGAGAATTCGATGGACAGGGGAGTATAGTGGGCTACAGCCCATGGGGTAGCGAAGGGTAGGACATGACTGAGTGGCTAACACTATAGGCAATAGAGTATTATAAGAACTCTTCTTTAAAAAAAAAAAAAAAGATCTCTTCTCTGCCATTTATGAATTCTTTCTGTCCTTAAAGCCCAATCCAGGTGTCTTTAGAAAGCTCACCTGCCACTGATGCCAGCTTTACCATTCCTCAGCCTCCTCCAGGGTTCCATCTTAATCTTTTTCTCCTTAGCCCCCAGCATTAAACATGACCCTTTAGGCTTTGAAGGGATCATGTATTTTCCACCATATTACCCACTACCCGGCATGGGCCTTGGCATGTAAGAGGTGCAGCTGAGGCTGCCAGCCCCTTCATAATTTGCTCAGCCTGGCACTCTGCTGTCAAGAAGCACAGTGAGAGACAAAAGAAGTGCCGTGTGTATGTGTGTAGTATTGATGAAGAGGGAGAGAAAGTAGAGGAGTCAGAAGGTGTCTTCAAAGAGGCAGAGGTGGTGTTTGGCTGCAGAGAAGTATAGAGTTTCTTGTATTTGAGGTGGGTTCAGAGAGAGATTAAGAGTTCTCCAGGCAGAGAGTTGGGAAGGATCCCATTCTAGACAGCAATTGCAGGATTACTAAGCCCCACAGCTGTGAAGAAGGGGCTTCCCTGGTAGCTCAGCTGGTAAAGAATCCGCCTACAATGCGGGAGACCTGGGTTTGATCCCTGGGTTGGGAAGATCCCCTGGAGGAGGCCATGGCAACCCACTCCAGTATTCTTGCCTGGAGAATCCCCATGGACAGAGGAGCCTGGCATACTACAGTCCATGGTCACAAAGAGCTGGACACAACTGAGTGACTAAGCACACAGTTGTGAAAAATCTTGGTGTTCACAGGGAGAGGTGAGGGTCTGAAATGACTGGGGTTTATAGAGGGTTGGGGGTGGAGATAGTAATAGCCACCATTAATGGAGTACCTGCCACATACCAGCATTTGATACAGTGAATCTACTGAATTTTCAAAAAATTTCTTCAGCTGAAGGATCATTTTTTGAGAGGTAGGATGACATGGCTTTAAATCCTAGTTCATCCACCCACGATTTGACCTTGGCCTATTTGTTAATCCTCTTTGTGCTTCAGTTTCCTCATCTGTACAAAGGAGATAGTAATCTGTCTCAGTATGGTTACAAGTACATAAATTAAGCTCTGGAAGATTTGTTTTGTACCTAGGAGGAAATAGACTAGAGAAAGTAGGCCCCTTGCTTGAGGCTGCACAATTAGAATGTGGCAGATTTACGATTCAGACCTTGACATCCTCTTGCCAAGGTGTAAACTGATAAAAGAATTAGGGCTGACAGTCACAAATTCAGTGCAGCCATACTAGTTGTTTAAATACAGAATGACTTCTAGACTGGTTGGTGTATTACCAGTATACCAAGTAATCCTGCTTGCCAGTTTGGAGTCTTCTCCCAACTCCAGGCTTACCCAGAGCCCAGCAAGTAAAGGATTAATGCCTGGCAAGAGGCCCGTGTTCCATTCTCAGTCCTGATTGGCGCTCGTGTTAGTACTCCTTGTTAAATAATTTGGAATATTACCCTTTCACACTCCATTGAATGAGAACCAGATGGGGAAAGTAAAGCCTATAAGAGGGACAGAGCCTGCAGTCAAGGCCCTGTAGACAGCCTAGGACAAAGCTGGGATCATCTTTGCCTTACCCACACTGAGCACACGGAGTCCTGGGGAGGCAAATGCTATGTAAAAATTTATTGTCGCCACAGGTCTTTCCTTCCCGGTCCAGTATCCCTCTCTACGAGCCAACATCCGCATTAGAGGACCTGTGGCCGAGGTGTGGCTGTGGAAAGCTGGCCAGCAAGGGACACTGCCCAGCTTCTGCTCTGCTCCTGTCTCCTGTCCCCTCCCCCGGCCATGACAGAGACCCGTGAGCCAGCTGAGACTGGGGGCTACGCCAGCTTGGAAGAAGACGACGAGGACCTTTCTCCAGGTGAGATGGGCTTAGAGGCGGTAGTGTCGGCTTGTGTATCATCCTGGTTTGGGCCTGGGGCTCTGCTAAGAAATCTTGACCGGGAGTGGTTCCTTGTCTCGCTAGGTGTTGTGTTCTCATTAGGACTCTGTGCTCTGCTATGGGATCCCTTCCTGCTGAGATTGCTGGGGGTTGTAGATTGGCTGGAATTGCTCTCCTTGTTGGGGTCACTTTCTTGGTTGGATGTGCTGGTTAGGCTGTGGTCTCTCTTCTTTCCGGGAGTTCTAGATCGGCCATGATCTCTCCCCTTGCTGGAGGTTCGAGATCGGCTGTGATCTCTCTCTTTTCTGGAGGTTCTGGTTTGGCTGTGATCTCTCTCCTTGCTGAGGGTTGTAGATCGGCTGTGATCTCTCTCCTTGCTGGGAGTTCTAGTTTGGCTGTGATCTCTCTCCTTGCTGGAGGTTCTAGGTTGGCTGTGATCTCTCTCCTTGCTGGAGGTTCTAGGCTGACTGTGATCTCTCCCCTTGCTGGAGGTTCGAGATTGGCTGTGATCTCTCTCTTTTCTGGAGGTTCTGGTTTGGCTGTGATCTCTTTCCTTGCTGAGGGTTGTAGATCGGCTGTGATCTCTTTCCTTGCTGAGGGTTGTAGATCGGCTGTGATCCCTCTCCTTGCTGGGGGTTCTAGTTCGGCTGTGATCTCTCTCTTTTCTGGAGGTTCTGGTTTGGCTGTGATCACTTTCCTTGCTGAGGGTTGTAGATGGGCTGTGATCCCTCTCCTTGCTGGGGGTTCTAGTTCGGCTGTGATCTCTCTCTTTTCTGGAGGTTCTGGTTTGGCTGTGATCACTTTCCTTGCTGAGGGTTGTAGATCGGCTGTGACCTCTTTCCTTGCTGGGGGTTCTAGTTCGGCTGTGATCTCTCCCCTTGCTGGAGGTTCGAGATCGGCTGTGATCTCTCTCTCTTCTGGGGGTTCTAGATCGGCTGTAATATCTTCCCTTGCTGAGGGTTCTAGTTTGGCTGTACTCTCTCTCCTTGCTGGGGGTTCTGGATCGGCTGTGGTCTCTCTCCTCACTGGGGGTCCTAGATCGGCTGTGGTCTCTCTCCTTGTTGGGGGTTCTAGACCATATGCGACCTCTCTCCTTGCTGTGGGTTCTAGATCGCCTGTAACCTCTCTCCTTGCTGTGGCTTCTAGACTGGCTGTGACTTCTTTCCTTTCTGGGGCTTCTAGATTGGGTATAATTTTTCCCCTTGCTGCGGATTCTTGACGGACTCTGTCTTCCCGTCTGACTGGGAGTTCCCTTGCGGGTCCGACTTCTTGCCCTGCTGTGGTTTCTCTTCCAGCTGTGACTTCTCACCCTGCTGTGGGCCCTCTCCCGGCTGTGACTTCTTGCCCTTCTGGGTGTTCTAGACCGGCTGTGACTTTGGGGCCGGCTGGGGCTGCTAGACCTGCTGTGACTTTGGGGCCGGCTGGGCATACTACCCTGGTTGTAACTCTCGACCCTGCTGAACGCTTCAGTCGGGCTGTAACTCCATTCCCTGCTGGGGGTAATCATCTGACTGTAACTCTTCACCCTCCGCGACAATGAGGGAGACTGGCTGTAACCTGTCTCCTTGAAGGGAGTTTGAGTGGGGCTGTAACTCTTTGCCCTGCTGGGGGCTGCAGCCAGGCTGGAACTCTTTCCCATATCAGAGGTTCCTGGGGGGCTGTTGCTCTTCTTTCGGCTCACACTTCTAGGCTGGCTCTCACTCCTTTCCTGGTTGCTGGTTCTAGGCCTGCTGTAACTCTTCCCCCTACCCTGTTTTTGCTGGGAAGTAGGAGTTCTCACCTTGCTGGGCATGCCTGGTCTGGCACCGTGAGTTCGTATCCTGCTCGGCGTGCTGGCCCTGTTGGCTGACCGCTTGGAGCTGCGGCTTCCCTTTCTGCCAGGAGTTCTGCCCCGGCTGCGGGTGCCTTGGTGCTGGGGGCGTCTTACCCCGCTGGCCTTGCTGGCCTTGCTGACCCTGGTGTCGGTGCTGGCCCGGGTGTCAGTGCTGGCTTTGCTGGGCGTGCGTGCCTGGCTGTGGACTCGCGACTTGTGGCTGGGCTGGTTAGAAGGGGCTGTCTTGGTCTTCGCCCATTTGGGAGATTTGGAACTGCTTGGGCTTGTGACCGAGTTGGGGGCTGTGGATGGTTTGGTGGATGCCGAGGGGCTGTTGGGCACTGCTGATTTGGGGGTCTTCAAGGAGGCGGGAGGCTTGGGAGACTCTGCGGGCACTGGGGGTCCAGTGGGTGCCGGAGACGTGCTGGGCTTTGGGGCTCTCGTAGGTGGAGAAGGCATGGTGGCCGTGAAAGGGCTCGTGGGCCTGGAAGTCACGGTGGACACAAAAGGCCTGATAGCCACAGGTTACTACCTGATTGCCTTGCTCAAGCCAACTTCGTGAAGTCACAGTGGGCAGTGAAGACCCTGGAGGGGTGGTGTGAAGTCAGAGGTGGGAGGAGAAAGAGGGGTGGGGCCCCAGCCCAAAGCTGGAAGTATGCTTCACAGCTCTTCAGCATATGCCTCCTCAGGCTGCCTTATGCTCAGGATAAGGAAAGGATGCAGAGAGCGATGAGACCCAGGCCCTGCCTTCCAGGAGTTTCCAGTCTCCACACCCAGATGGTCACTGCCCAGGCCAGGCGGTCAGGGTATACTGGGGGTAGGGGGAGCCCAGACGTGAGAGGCACTGACCACCTGGGCAGTCCAGGAGGCCCTCACAGAGGAGGTGACGTGGAGCTGGGGCCTTAAAGAGGAGCAGGAGTTTGCTAGTCAAGAAGGAAAGGGTTGTCCCAGGTGGGAGGGGAGCAGAGGCAAAGGCCCGGAGGAGAGAGAGCAGGGCGGCCCTTGTTCATCCCACCCACGCGTCCTGTTGAGGACCCCAGATGAGTCAGCCCTGCCCCAGGGCTTCCTAGCCTGATGGGGGAGACATGCTGGGGCCCAGCTGGCTGCAGCCTTTAGGACGGTGACGGGGAGGTGGAGCTAGGGTGGAAGGAACAGGGCAGAGACCCCCTGCCTGAAGTCATCAGGGTGGTGACTTCAAGGAGGACGGAGCCTGTGCTGGGTCCTGAAGGATGAGCAGGAGGTCGCCAGGCAGACAGAGTGGGAACAGCGTTCCAGGCCAAGGGACCAGCCCATGCCAAGGCTGACAGAGAGACAGCAGGACAGAGGCAGGAACAAGTAAGAGACGGAGGGAGCCGCAGGGAGGGACAGACATTCATAACCTGGGCTGCCAAGCTGGGTGATGCTGGGGACCCAGCAGTGAGTCAGCCCAGGCCTGTCTGCTGATCAGTGGGGAAGAACTTTGGATGGGCACCCCCCTGAGGATTCAGGACTGGGATAGCCAGAGGGCAGAAGTGACTGGCTGCCTGGGATCAGGAGATCTGGGGTGCCCTCATCAGAGAGGAAGGTCCTAAGGCTAACAGGAGACATTCTCAGCACATGGGGAAGCCACAGAAAAGGATGTCAAATTGTATGCCAGGCACAAGGAAAGTGATCTAGATGCTAGGGGCACAGCTATGAATGAGACAAAGCCCCTGCTCTCGGGGACAGGCAGTAAACACATAGCAAGAGTTGCATGCGGTAAATTGAAGAGACAGATAAAGCCGAGTGAGGGGCGTAGGGAGTGCTCGGGAGGGACTGCCCGTCAGACTCACTGACCAGGTGTTCACCGAGATGACACCTGAGCAGAGATGTGACAGAAGGGAGGGATCAAGCCTTAGTTCATCTGCAGAAAGGGAGGTGACGGCCCTGAGCTGGGGTCTGGCCTGGGTGTTGAGGGATGTGAGGAATGTGGCTGGCCCAGTTGTAACAGGGCCCCCGTACGCTGCTGGGGTAAACTAAGGCGGAGGGCCATGGATGCAGGGCTGAGCTGTCGCAGTCTTAGGAGATGTCCTTGGCAGGCTCAGGCCACCACTCCTAAAGCAGCCGGTATTTCCCACACTGCCACCCCTACCACAGTAGGGGCTCCCTCTGGGGCTGGGGTCCACACCCCCCATAACAGCTGTTGGTATCGCCCTCCCCTGTATATCCACTTTACACTTCTTACTTTATTTAAACGTAAATTTGTCCTAGGCATGTCCTTCATACCCATGAAATCACAGTAATACACCTATTTTTACAAATATTTTAACTCACTTTACTAGATGTTTTTTGTATACATAGATACATATATATATGTGTGTGTATATAAAGGGCTTATATATATATATATATGTATTTATTTATTTATTTATAAAGGGCTTCCCGGTGGCTCAGCAGTAAAGAATCTGCCTGCAGTGCAGGAGATGTGGGTTCGATCCCTGGGTAGGGAAGATCCCCTGGAAAAGGGATAGGCTGCCTACTCCAGTATTCTTGGGCTTCCCAGAGGCTCAGGGGTAAGGAATCTGCCTACAATGCAGGAGATGTGATTTGATCCCTGGGTCAGGAAGATACCCTGCAGAGGGCATGGCAATCTTCTCCAGTATTCTTGCCTAGAGAGCCCCATGGACAGAGGAGCCTGGCGGGCTACAGTCCACGGGGTCGCAAAGAGACACAGCTTAAGTGACTGAGCATGCACTCATGCATATATATTAATATAAAACCATGTATTTCAAAGTATGTATATGTATGTGTTTTAATTTGCTGAAGTATCTGCTCGAGTGTTTGCCTCCCTAAAATGAGCCATGCTAGGCCATCACCCACATTTAGCTCTCCCTTTTAGCTGTGTGACTGGAGGCCAGTGAGTCACCGCACCTCCATGCCTCGGTTTCCCCATTTGTCACTTAGGGATAATACTAGTAACTCCCTCAGGGTTGTTGTAAAGATAAGTTGAGTTAGTATTTATAAAAAATAAGGTTCTTGGGAATACCCTGGTAGTATAGTGGTTAAGACTCAGTGCTTCCATTGCAGGGGGCATAGGTTCGATCCCTGGTCAAGGAACTAAGATCCGGCATGCTGCATGGTATGGCCAAAAAAACCCCCAAAGTTCTTAAAATAGCAGTGGACACTATCACTGTTGTTTTTATTATTCCTACCACTCCTACTTTGTTCTTTTTAACCCCCTAAGATGCAGTTCTTAAAAGATGTGCATTTGCTTGATGCACAGATTCCTAGCACCTCTGGTGTGCCGGACTGTTTTGTGCGATGAGGGTTCATTGGTGCGGAGAGCAGGGTTGGGCCCAATACTGCGGCGAGTCTGCATGTGTCTCCGCGAGGGGACAGCCAGGCGAAGCCCTCTGTCCAGTGACGCACTGTCTCCTTACCTACCACCCCCGCAGGCCCTGAGCATTCCTCTGACTCCGAATACACTCTCTCAGAGCCAGACTCCGAGGAGGAAGACGAGGAGGAAGAGGAGGAGGAGGAGACCACTGACGACCCTGAGTATGACCCCGGCTACAAGGTGAAGCAGCGCCTGGGTGGGGGCCGTGGGGGCCCGTCCCGGCGGGCCCCCCGTGCGGCCCAGCCTCCCGGCCCCCCAGCCCAGCCCTGCCAGCTCTGTGGCCGCTCGCCCCTCGGGGAGGCCCCGCCGGGCACCCCACCTTGCCGGCTCTGCTGCCCTGCGGTAGCCCCCCAAGAAGCACCAGCCCCTGAAAGCCGGGCCCTCGGGGAGGAAGGGCGGGGGGCGCCTCGGGCTGGGGAGGGCCGACCCACCGGGCGGGAGGAGGAGGAGGAGGAGGAGGAGGGCACCTACCACTGCACAGAGTGTGAAGATTGCTTCGACAGCCTGGGCGAGCTGCATGGGCACTTCATGCTGCATGCCCGCGGGGAGGTGTAGGCAGAGCCGCACCGGGCGCCTGGGAGAGGGGCGGGCGGGGTGGGAGGGCGCTGAGGACCCTGGGGTGGAAGCGGATGGGGCACCTCCAGTCTGTGTCGTCTTAGCAGTAGACATGTGAAGGCCAGAATAAAAGCCAGATTCTGTGTGTCGGTCCAGTGTGTGTGTATATGTATGTGTGTAAGCTTAAGTGTGTGAGGCATGCGCCTGTGTGTGTGTGTGTGTAAGCTCAAGTGTGTGAGGCATGCGCCTGGACATTTACTTCACCATCCCCAGGCTCCTTCTTGGGGAAACCTTAGGATCACTGTTACCACGATAATTAATGTTTACTAAGTGCATAGTTCAATGTGGTTTCCACGTATTTTATCACAGACCCTATGATGTACAGGGTCAGACACATGAGGATTTTGTTTCTCACTCACATGATAGTCCAAGGTTGGGGGAGGGGGGTGTTTCAGGTTGGCAGGTAATCTCCATATGGTGATTTAGGGAGACCCCGGCCATCCTTTTGTCATTCACATGGTCATGGCTGGATGTCCCTGGCTGGAGCTCTGTGGGTGGAAGAGGAGAGGTACACATGCTTGCTTAGAAGCCCCAGCCTAGAAGGGGCACATACCGCTGCCACTTACGTTCTATGGCTGAGAGATTAATCACATGACCACAGCTTGCTGCAAGGGAGTGTGGGAAAGGCGGTCTCGCCAAGTGCCCAGAAAGCAGAAAACGTTTGTGGAAGACAGCGAGCATGCTCTGCCACTTCATCCAAGACCTTCACAAAGAGGACTTTAATTATAATCATAGCTCTGCTTCCTGAGCGCTTCCTGAGTGCCAAACGCCAGTCCAAGGGCTTTATGTATTCAGTGTATTGACTCAGAAAAGTTGTGCATCTAGGAACACACAAAAATAGAACCTTAATTATAATTACAGCTGCCGTTTTCCCAGAACTTAACAGAGTGCTGCATTTTATCTGCATGAGATCATCAGGCCCTTAGAATAACTCTGCAAGGTAGGGACTGTGAGCCATTAATTCATTTAACAAATATCTTTTCAATCCTTGGCTGTGTGCTAAGCATTTGTAACACACCAATGAATAAGATAAAATCCTTGTGTTCGTGGAGCTTACCTGGAAGTGAGAAGGGGCCCCTGGTGGGGACAGGTAGTAAACAAGAAATTGACGAGAAAGGCGTAACATGCTTGATGGTGCTAAGCGCTGTGGAGGAAACTAGAGTAGAGAAGAGAACAGTTCTGGAAGAGGATGCAGTTTTAAACAGTGGTGTCACCTCCCTGAGGTGAACAGAGATCAGAGAAGGGGAGGGAGGGAGCCATCTAGGTGAGGGGGTGGGGCATCAAGGAGGCCAGAGTGACTGGAGGGATGAGGTCAGAGTTGGGAGTAGAGGGTCAGCTCGTGACAGCTGTGTGGAAATACCAGCTCTCGCTCTGAGACGGGAAATAGGAATTCCCAGAAGCTTGGCACCGAAGCTTCTTTGAAAATAGAAGCTTAATTATAATAATAGCTACCATTTATTGTGTGCCAAGCTCTGTCCTAAGGCGCTTTACATGTGTTAACTCACAGAAGCTTGGCAACTAAGAACCCTCCAGAATAGAACCTGAATTACCATAATGGCTCATGGCGGACCAGACCCTGGGCTAAGCGCTCTATAGGGACAATCGCATCAGATCCTTTATGTGGTAGGGACCGTTATTTATTCCCATTCATTCAGCACTGATTTACTGAGCACGTAGGTGATACAGGTGCTATTTGGGGAGTGGGGAACAGTGGTAAACACAATAAAAATCTCTGCCCTTGTGGTGGTTATAACAGTGAAAACAGATACTTGAATATTTAAGCAAAAGGTATAGAATGGGCATTTCCCTGATGGTTGAGTAGCTAAGACTCTGCACTCCCAATGCAGGGGGCCCAGGTTGAATCCCTGATCAGGGAACTAGATCCCATATGCTGCAACTGAAAGAACCCAAAAGCCACAACTAAGGCTGAGTATGGCCCAAACAAACAACAACGAAAAAATGTATAGAGTGTTAGGAGGTTATAAGTGCTGTGGAGGAAAAGAGAAGAGGAATGGGAGGCTCTTGTGTGTGAAGCAGTTTCAGATGAGGTAGTCAGGGAAGGCTCCACTAAGAAGGTGACATCAGAGGAGACCTAGAGGAGGAGGAGCAGGCCATGTGGCTGTGGGAACAGCAGGTGCAAAGGCCCCGAGGTGGGATCCTGCTTTGGATGTTCATGGCAGTGCACCTGGGGCCAAGAGGCTGTTGCTGAGGAAGGCAGTGGGGAGACTGGTGGGAGCGTAGGGGCAGAGGGCCACGTCACATAGGGCGTAATACCGACTTTGACTTTCTCTCCAAGTCTGTCTTCATAATCCTTAGAGCTATAGGGGCTGTGATCATGACATTTTACAGCTGGGGCACAGAGATTGAGATTACTCAATCTCTGAGTAATCTGCAAGAGGTCACACAGTTAGAAAGAAGCAGAGGCTAGGTTTGAATCCAGACAACTGGGTGCAGGGCACACATTCTTAGCCACTAAGCCACACACCAGAAATGGCTGTCCACAGCCATCATCTGACTTGAAGGAGTGCATTTGGTCTCCAGAGTTATTGAGGTTTTTAAAATCATGTTGGTCAACAACATGGAAAAACTGGGCAGATCTGGAATAGAAATGGAAGTTTCCGGCATCCCTGTGAGATTGATGGCTGAACTCACAATCCCACGGGGTGATAGTTTGCTAGAGCCAAGTGGGGGTCACCTCCTATTAACAAGGCATTCCATCCTGCATGCCCGTCCCCACCATCTGGCATCTGGACCCCTCATACCCAGCTTGCATCACCAATTTGTGGTCCCTGCTTGGCCCCAAAAAGTAATTTTATGTTTTGATGTCTGTTACAGGATCATGACCAAAGCATCTTTCAAAATCCAATACTGTTCATCCTGGAAGCTCAGAATCTGGCATTTATCCACTCTTTGAGACTTTCATAACCACTCTAGCTTAACATCAATGAGTCTCAGAATCATCAAAGCATTGGGTTGGCCAAAGAGTTCATTTAGGTTTTTCTGTAAGATGTTACGAGGTCTTCCCTAGGGGCTCAGTGGTAAAGAATTTGCTTGCTGTGCAGGAGACAAGAGTTCGAACCCTGGGTCAGGAAGATCCTCTGGAGAAGGAAATGGCAACCCACTCCAGTATTCTTGCCTGGAGAATCTCATGGACAGAGGAGCCTGGTGGGCTACCGTCTATGGGGTCTGCAAAGAGTCGGACACAACTTAGCGACTAAACCACCACCACAGAACCACCTCAGAATCTCAGTAGCTGAGCCAAGATGTTATGGAAAAATCCTAATGACCTTTTTGGCCAACTCAGTAGAAACTTGCAGCTCATTAAAACAACACAGATGGATTTTATTTCCTGGGGGCAGCATGCCTAAGCCCTATTCTGCCTTAAGACGGGGCGTTCTAAACACAGAAGTAGAGAATTACCCCTTCATCAGCAAAAGTTCCTGAGGATCATGAGAGACTGGGAATCAGGAGACCTGGTCTGCTGCCAGTGGAGTCCTTCAGTTCTTCAGAGCCTAGAGGAAATAGAGGCCAAGTGAGGAATCCCGGAGGATTCTGTACTGGGAGTTGGTCACACAAGTACTAGAAAGCTAAGAGCACAAACTTATGCTCAAAGTATGGTAGCTGAGAAATTAGTGTCTGCAAGAAGCTCCCACCTCTAGGACTGCGATGCAGAAAGAGAAGTACAATGGCCGGAACCCAGTGGGAGCCACATGTGTGGCTGGTACAGGGGTTGATGACCCCACAGCTCCTGCTTAAACCCAAAGTGGGGCACAGTGCTCTGGCTGAGTGTGTGAGGAGATACTGGAGCTTGAACTGCTGCTGGAGGGGCCCCAGCAGGACCCCTTCTTCCCTCTTTGACCTTCTTTCTGCCCTTAGGTATTATGGGATGAAGTTAAGGAAGCCAGCTCTCCAGGGAGTCTGGGAAGTACAGTTGCCAAAAGCCCAGGCTGACAGAACAGTGTGGAAGGATGGGCTGAGGCTGAGAGCGAAGTAAGCCAGTGGGCAGTCAGGGAGTTCTTTTTTGAGCTGCAATGGTAAGCACTGTCCTAGGTGCTGAGGATGAAGCCGTGAGGAAGACCCAACACTCACCCTCAGGAGCTCGGATTCCAGAGGAAGGACACAGGTGATAATATAAACACAGGGGTGACAGTTCCAAGTGGTGAAGTGTGCTGGGAAGAAACTGAATCAGGGTATAGGTTGGAGGTGCTGTTGCAGCTAAGGAGGACCTCTCTGAGGTGGCAGGCATTGAGACCTGGGTAACAAGGAGGCAGCCTGGCAAAGCTCTGGGTAAGACGCAGCAGAGAGCGCAGAGGCTCCGAGGCAGATGTCAGCCTGGCCAGTGTGGCTGGAGTGTAGGGAAGACGACAGCTCCATCCCTGGAGCTGAGACTGCTTTGGGGGCTGGGGCCTTGGCACTGTTAGGTTTTGTGGTCCTGGTTAAGGTCTTTCAACGTTACTTACAGGATGCCATTGGAGGGTAAGTCTTTTTTTTTTTTTTCCCCAAACTACTACTCTTAGACCTGGACATGCAGGCACTTTGCCCCAGGTCTGTGCCTCAGAAAGTCTTCTTTTTTTTTTTTTTTTTTTTTAATTTTTTAAATATTTATTTATTCAGCTGTGCTGGGTCTTAGCTGCAGCATGTGGGATCTCGTTCCACAGTCAGGGATCAAACCCAGGCTCCCTGCATTGGGAGCATAGTTTTAGCCACTGGACCACCGGGAAAGTCCCCTGTTGGAGAGTTTTGAATGAGTGATGTAAGCTGATTTCCATATACACAGTGGGTGGTTTGTAGTAAAGAGACTGGGAGGTGGGGGTTGGGGGGAGCAGTAATAATAGGAGAACCTGCCTCCTTTTGTCTTCTTGCTCTGCCACCATGGGGTCCCCTCTCCTGGTCCAAGATGGCTAGAGACCACGTCCACATTCCAGGTGGGAAGGTGGAGTGAGAAGTAGGTTCCTTTCTGAAGCTTGAAGACTCTACCCAGGAATTTAGTCAGAACTGCATCATATGGCCACGTCTAGCTGCAAGGAAATGTGGGAGATGCTGTCTTTGTAGCCAGCATGTGCCTAGCTAAAAACTGGGAGATGGTTCAGTCTCTGTGGGCTTTCAAAATATCCCTCAGTTCAGAGTCTTTTAACTATTGTGTGTAAAGCATTGACCATTGTCTCTGGGGCAGAGCAGGTAATGTGAGGGAACTCAGCCCAGAATGGGACCTTTTAAGAGCTGAAAATAGGATCTTAATAGAATTATCTCCCAGTGCTGGCCAAATACAACAGGAAACAGAAGGTACCTCTGTTTGACTCCAAACCAATTCCCCTACAGGGCCAGCTCTACCCTGCGTACCCCACCCCCCTGTGCCCTTCTGTTCTCTGGGAATTCCTACTCAAAAGCCAGAGGTCTGTGCTTAGACAGTTTAATGTGGACCTTTTGTTTTTTAATCTTTCAGCTGCATTGTGAGGCATGTGGGATCTTGGTTCCCCAATCAGGGATTGAAAACCCATATCCCCTGCATTGAAAGCACGGAGTCTTAACCACTGGCCCACCAGTGGAAGTCCCACGGACCTTTTGTTTTTAGATACTATTTCTGTTAGTTTATTCATGCCATCTCACCTGCACATATAGAAAAATAATCCATGACCAGAATGATACATAAAATTATTTAAACAATAAGTCATCTGGGGAGGAGGGGGGCAGAGCTGTCCAATGCTGTGGCCCTCCTTGAGTGGGAAAGACTGGCAGGGGGGTGGGAAGAGATACTAGCTCAGATTGCAACCCCCACATGACTCAGTACAGACTCTGACTTTGCTGTCCCATCCCCAAAGGCCCAAGTCGCTCCGTGTATGGGACCTGTGTTGTGGTGGCGTTACAGGTGGGCAACGCCTCACTTTCCCTGCCCCCAGTCAGGCCCAAATCCAGTCACTCGGCACCTACAGCCCCACAGCATCCATCTGGGATGAATTAAAGGTGGTTACACAATCTGCAGCTAGTTGCAATTTCAGACTATTTTAATTGGGGATGAGGGAGATACAAATAACAGTTTTCCCTCTTGTTAATTTCTTTTTAAACAATAGATCTCATTATTGTCTGATTTGACTTTCCCTGAAGTCTTTTATGTCCTCCAAAGACTGAAGCTCCAAATGAGCATCTTCTGGGTCCTGTTTATCAGGAGTCCTTTGCCTTTCCAGGGAGGAAAGTCCAAGGCTCCCATCCCATATCAGACGTCCGTCCCACCAGCCAAAGAGCTCCCATGGCCCTGGGGCGGGTATAAGCCACTCTCAGAGCTCCCCCCGCGCATGCCGGATGTAGTGTTGGTGCAGCCCTGCTTCCTGGGCAAAGTCCTGACCACACTCTGTGCAGGCAAAGGGGCCAGGAAGAGTGCGGGCCTCATGTGCCTGGCGATGCCGCCTCAGAGAAGCAGCCTGCCCAAAGGTCTTGCCACAGTCGGGACAGGGAAAGGTGGGCGGTGTGGTGGTGGGTGCTGCCGGCTGGGAGAGCCTGGCCACTGGACCGTGGCTGCGCTGGTGGGTGATCAGGGCCTTGGAGGAGGGGAAGGATCGGGCGCAGGTGAAGCAGATGAAGAGGACCCCCTGCAGTTTCTGGGCCACGAAGTCCGCTGGGTGCTCCCGCTTCATGTGGCGCTCCTGGAACTTGGAATCGGCGAAGGTGATGAGGCAGCGGGTGCACTGCAGGGCCCCCAGGTGGCCTGAGGATGTGGGGGAGAGGTTGGGGGAGGCCAGCAGGTGTGGCGAGGGCCTCTCCCAGCCCCAGAATCATGCCAACAACCAGCATGCAGGGCTTGACTTGCTCTGTGCCAGGTGTTATGCCAGGCCTGGACAGCAGACTTACTGGACCTATTTTGTGAATGAGCAGACCGGGGCTGAAAAAGGTTAGGCAACTTGCTGACTTTCATGAGGCTAGGAAGTGAAATGGTGGATTCAGGACTGGAACCCAGGCAGTCTGCCTTTCCTACAGAGCTGTATGATTAGGGCACAGCCTCTGGAGCCAGACTGCCTGGAACTGACTCCCCTGGCAAGTAAAAACAGTTTTCATCTGGAAAATGGGGTAATCACTATATTAGTATCCACCTCATAGGGTTGTTGGAAGGAATAAATGAATGAACTTATAAATAGTCTTTAGAATGGTGCTATACAATGTTTTGCAATAATTATTGTTGAGAAGAAACCCCACAGCCAGGGGCTGGCCTGGCACTCACAGCTAGGCCGTGGTGTTCTCCTGGTGAGCATAAACAATTCCAAAGTACACTGTCAAACAAGGCCGTGCTGTGACTGAAGCGAATCAAGACCACGCCATGGTGCCATTCTGAACACAGACAAAATGTGAAATGGCCACGAGAGATGGCCAGACAGCCCCCTGTCCTGGCTTACATGAGTGCCTGCTGCTGCTTGGCCAGTCAGAGCTGGAGCGTTCCCTTGTTCCTCCCTCCTCCTAGGTCAGATTTATTAAGTGAGCCCTCCATCTAAGAGCCCTGCTTCCTGGCAGCCTCTACCCAGAGCAAAACCCCTTTCTTGAACCTGAGAGGGTAACAGGCAGGAAGGCCAGGGGTCTCCAAAGGGAGGAAAGAGGCTGCAGGTGCCAGACATTTTTATCTCTCTTAAGCGGCAGGAAGAAACAAACCAGCGATGTGTTTTTCCTTTACACAAATTTAAAAGGAGGTTTCTCTTAACAAGCTGTGTTGCCATGACACCTGGTCTCACCTAAAGCTAACTACCCTCAAACCTTGAGTTAACCAATACATTTCTTTTTCCTATGGAAATGTTGTCTTAAGATATGTTAATGAACCCCAGACTCTATCTTCAAGTTGGTTCCGCCAAATGGCCTAACTTACTTACTCAGGTATTGTTCCCCTAATCTATGTAAACGAAACTATTTGTTGGTATTCTGCCCTTCTACAAGATTCAAGTCAATCGTTTTATGGCCAGGGATGAATTATCTGGTGCCATTCTAAATTTTATGACATTCCTTTCTTTTCATTAACAGACTGTGAGTGACTATATAACATACTGGTAAAGACTAGGAGGTGGGTACTCTTTTGCCCCCTTCTGATGCCTATGTCAGAAGCTTTCTCTATCTCCTTTATACTTTAATAAAACTTTATTACACAAAAAGCTCTGAGCGATCCAGCCTCGTCTCTGGCCCCGGATTGAATTCGTCTCCTCTGGAGGCCAAGAATCCCGCGTCTTATCGTTCAGCAACAACCTTTCAAACTCTTCCCCAATGCACCTACCACAAACCCAGATCCTATAATAAGTCCTTTTTTATGAGATGCCCCACAGTGTGTGTGCTTCCTCAGTACAATGAACAACATGCCTGATTTGTTCAACTCCACGTGTGTTCCTGGAGGGCTCCGGCGAGAGAGCCCTGACAGTGTGGCTCTCACTGTTAAATACTTAACCTGTCTTTGCCTCAGTTCCCTCACCTCGTACGAAAGTGATAATTATCAATTTCATAGAGTCTGTTAGGAGGATGGACTGAGACAACTGTTAAAATCTTAGAATGCACCTAACACATAATAAGCATTCAGTAGAAGCTATTGCTGTTCTATGTCAAATTGACTATCTTTATTAAGCTTTCCCCTTTTCTGCCGCTAATCCTCATACCAGCCAGCCCTGTGAGGTGAGGAGTGAACACCCCTTTTGACAGAGAGGGACACCAAGGTCCAAGGCACACTAAAAGTCTGGGGCAGGGTTGGGACTGGGGCTCACTGTTCTTCCTAGTCATCTCTCCCACTCTCCCACTCCAAGCCTCTCTGGATGCCACTCTTGGCCTCTGAAGTGCATCCCTTTCATATTTATGTAGACAGAGCAGGGTGCTCTGCTCCTGTTACCTCTGAGGGTAACAAGGATTGGGGGTCCTGAGAGGGCAGCTCAGGGACCATTAACAGCTCCTTCCTAATGGGCAAGTCCCCACAACGCTTTGAACACTGAGATGCTATAGAAATCCTTTTAGCATCACAGCACCTGCAACCCACCCTCCTCTGGTCAGCAGTACTCACAGATGTCACCTCCCGGACTTCGGGAACTTCTCTCCTTGGACGAATCCTGCTGCTCCATGGTCTGTTTGGAGTGCCGGTCCTCCATCGTGACTGGGACCCCTCTGGTCGAGAGAGGAGCATGCATGGCAGAATAGTAAATCAAGTGAAGTCGCTTATCTATAACCAAATTTAGAGGGCCCGCTAATCCTGTGACCTTTGACAGGCTTACTTTGCCAGTCTTTGACTTCCATGAGATAACATCTCTTTGAATTATAACCTGAGAGCTCTCACTAGAGAAGAAATCAATCTTCTAAAAGATTCAACTCCCCAGCTTTGTGACTTCTCTTAGCGCCTTCTCACTTGCGTGAGTATGCCTGCTACATCAAAGTAACTCCCTGAACACAGAGCTAGGGACTCCTGATCTTTGGACACCAGCTTCATCCCCTTCTCTCCCACCTGTCTTAAGGCAGGTAGTGGTACCCACGCTTTAGCCCGCCTCCTCCCGGGAGACTTCTCTGACATCCCGAAACTCATTCCATCCTGAGACCCTGCTTCCCACGCGCGCTTTCAGCCGTTGTGACCCGCTGCCCCCAAGCACTGCCCTCGGCTCCCTCCCGAGGCCAGTAGCCCAGGTCTCTGCTTTTCTCCAAGACAGCAGAGGGGCTGCCTTTCGTTGCGCCTGTCAGTTGCTCGTCACAGCGCCGTCACCCGAAGGGAAACGGGGTAGGGCCCACCGAGTCTCAAAGTCACGAGCTTTTCCACGGCCTTTCGCCTGATGAGCCTTTCGGAGCCCGGATCTTGGATTGCCATCCGATTACAATGATGCAGTCCCACGAATTCGGTCCTCAAAATAACGCGAGGGGTCCTTCCCCGCACTAGGGTGCGTAATGATGACGTTGCAAGCAACTCTCTCTTTGCAGACCTGTGCTTACTGCGCAAGCGTGTTAGGCGCTCCTGGCGCGCACGCGTATTGGCTTCCTCATTGTTCTACGCCCTGCGACCGCTGAGAGTGAGCGAGCGCCCATCGGTCGTTCTGCGCAGGCGCCGCACAGGGCCGTCTCCCTGAGGTCACGCTCTCAATACACACCCCCTCCTAAAGGGAATGACGTCAGGTTAGAACCCCTGGAAAGCGTCTGGACGTCCCCGAATCCCGGCGCTGTAGCTTCTTGGGCCTCAGTCCCCGGACCCCAGAGCGGGGGCTTCTCAGCGGCAGACCAGCTGCTACGGACTGCGCCGTCCCTTGTGCCGGCTGTTTGCTCGGTTGGTGATTTGGAAGGGAGGAGTGAGGGGTTAAAAACATCTGTATCCCAGAGGGGGTTGGGAGCTGGAGGCCAATTTCTGAGTTTTTGAAGCGGAAAAGGAAAGCCATTCAGAAGGAGGGCGGACGGCACTCCCGGGTCCCTGGGGGATAGAGGCTGGGCGCCAGATTTCTGGCTGGCTGGGAGTGGTACCCGAGAACGAAAGAAAGGGACAGAATAATCGGCTGAAATGTGAGACCGGAGTAGGGAAGCTAGGAAAGAATAAGATTGGGTGCTCCGTGACCGATGTCTTCCTCTCTCCTTGCTTCCCAGCTATGCCTCCGCCGCGAGGTGACGTGACCGTCTTATTCCTGGGACCTCCGGGCTCCGGAAAATCTGCGCTGATCGCAGCGCTGTGCGATAAAGATGTGGAGACGGTCGAGATCCCCGACGGCCGGCCGGATTCCGGGCTCCCCAGCCTGCGAGCTGCAGGCCCAGGCCTTTTCCTGGGCGAGCTGAGCTGCCCCCCCGCTGAGCCGGGACCCTGGGCGGCGGAGGCCAACGTGCTGGTACTGGTGCTGCCAAGCCCCGAGGGCAATGAGGAGCCCTTGGCCCCGGCGCTGGGGGAGGCAGCACGGGCCGCCGTGGCCCGAGGGACTCCGCTGCTGGCTGTGCGGAACCTCCGACCCGAGGAGTCGCAGAATGAAGCCCAGGCCCGGGATCAGACCGCGGCCCTGCTGGACAGCGCCGGGTTGGGCGCCGCTGCTCTCTTCGTGCCACGGACCGACTGCCTCAGCACCGACGGCTGCGAGGAGCTGGAGCGCCTGCGAGCGGCGCTGCGGAGCCAGGCCGAGGCGCTGCAGAGGTAAGCGCGGAGCTTTTGGGTGAGTGGGAGAGGCCTGGAGCTTTATTTACTCGATACCTCCACCCTAAGGTGCTCTTTGAAGTCAGCCCGCAGCGAGTTTGGGACCAACCTTAAAGAGATCTCTGCTGAAAGCCCTGCTCCAGATCCTGCCCTTCAGTGCAGGTTGTGAGGTCCGCGAGGCTCCACCTCAAGCTAGCGCTCTGTGCTGTTTTTTGTCATCTAGGCCCCATCCAAGGGTCAGCTGGAAGTCCCAGCCTGCTCCTGCTAGCACTCTGAGGTCAAAAGACCCGCTTCCCCGCCAGAATTCTAGGAGGAGCCCGGACCTAAAAGCCCAAACGCTGCCCCCAAGCCAACGTGTGAAGGAGGGCTTGCTGTCTGCTTCCAAACTGGTTATCCCCATAAAATTTGTACCCGAAGACTCCACTCTCCAGTCTTCACTTTCCTCCTCACCATCTGCTTGGTTCTCAAGGGATCTGAGTCTCCAGAGAACCACACCCTCAGTGAACTTTGTCCTTTGGGGGGCCCTCCCCCATTTCGTTTCTCTGATCCCCTCCCTCTTTGTGCCCACCTGCTGGCTATCTCCTGTCTTTTCTCCCCCCACCCTAAGCGGCCTGGCCTCCTTTAGTAGAGGTTGAAAGAGGCTCAGGGAGGGGCAGCCGCTCCTCCAAGCCCACCACCCATCTTTTTTCCTTAGCCTCATGCCCTTGCTAAGAACTATTAGATGAGGCTTCTCCCCTCATTGGACTGCTCTAAAAAAAGCGCCCTTGGTGACCTTGCCCTCCTAGAGCATTTTCATTTAATCCCTCAATTCATTCTTTGGCCCTAAGGCTCACTCTCTGTGAGTTTTGCCCCGCCCAGCATGGCCTTTTCTTAATCCTGCAGGTCCCTTGGAAGGCCCAGCTCCCAAAAAGTGTAACCTCGGGGCAGGGGCGGGGTGGGGGGGAGACTTAGCCGGTTCCCCATTTTCAGCTCTGTTGGAAGCCAGATTTCAATCCAGCCGTCGTCCCTCCCTTGCTTTAGGCCCCTACCTTTCCTTCCTGTGCTTCCCTGGTGGCTCAGAAGGTAAAGCGTCTGTCTGCAATGAGGGAGACCTGGGTTCGATCCCTGGGTCAGAAGATCCCCTGGAGAAGGAAATGGCAGCCCACTCCAGCACTCTTGCCTGGAAAATTCCATGGACCGAGGAGCCTGGTAGGCTACAATCCACGGGATCACAAAGAGTCGGCACGACTGAGCGACTTCAACTTTTCCTGCCTAGCCTAGGTGCTGTTGATGTGGCCCCTCCTTTTCTTGCTTCAAACTCCACCTTGTCATTTTAGCCTGGTCCGAACCCCTAGACTAGCTCTCCAGACTCTAGACCCTCTTCTGCCCTTGACCCTATCCCTCCCTGTCCCCGCAGGCTCCTTCCACCAGCTCAGGATGGCTTCGAGGTGTTGGGCGCAGCGGAGTTGGAGGCTGTGCGGGAGGCCTTTGAGACAGGGGGCCTGGAGGCGGCCCTGTCGTGGGTTCGGGCAGGCCTGGAGCGACTGGGCAGCGCGCGCCTGGACCTGGCCGTGGCCGGTAGGGCTGACGTGGGCCTTGTGTTGGACGTGCTCCTCGGGTTAGATCCTGAAGATCTGGGTGCAGTGCCTGCTGCGGAGCCTGCGGGGCCCACGCCCTACCCGGCCCCAGAGCGCCCCAACGTGGTGCTCTGGAGCGTGCCTCTGGGCTCCGCGGACACCACCGTCGCCCCGTATCCAACCACCCACTACGACGCTCTCATCCTCGTCACCCCTGGGGCTCCCACTGAGAAGGACTGGGCCCAGGTCCGGCCTTTGGTGCTACCGGATACACCGCTGGTCTGCGTGCGAACAGACGGCGAGGGCGAGGACCCGGAGTCTCTGGACGAAGAGGAAAAGGCAGAGAAGTCTGGCGGCGAGAGCTTAGAGAACGCAGGCGGAGAGGGGTTTGAGAATGCCCGCAGTGATGGAAACGAGAAATGCGGCCCCGGATTGCAAAAGGGAGGGAGTGGGGAAGGTTCAGAGGAAGCAGGCACGGAGAGTTTGCAGCCGGTGGGCGTCGGCGCGAAGAAATCCGGCGGCGGGGACTCGGAGCGCGCGGCCGCCCTGAGCCCCGAGGACGAGACGTGGGAGGTGCTGGAGGAGGCGCCACCGCCTGTGTTCCCGCTGCGGCCGGGCGGGCTCCCGGGGTTGTGCGAGTGGCTGCAGCGCGCGCTCCCCGCGGCCCAGGCGGGGGCGCTGCTGCTGGCGCTGCCGCCTGCGTCTCCCCGCGCGGCCCGGACCAAGGCTGCGGCGCTGCGGGCCGGGGCATGGCGGCCGGCCCTGCTGGCTAGCCTGGCTGCGGCGGCAGCCCCAGTCCCAGGGCTGGGCTGGGCGTGTGACGTGGCGCTCCTGCGAGGTCAGCTAGCGGAGTGGCGGCGGGCGCTGGGGCTCGAACCCGCGGCGCTGGCCCGACGCGAGCGCGCGCTGGGCCTGGCGCCCGGGGAGCTGGCCCAGCGGACAAGCTTCCCAGGCCCGGTGACGCGAGCAGAAGTGGAGACGAGGCTGGGCTCGTGGGCGGGCGAGGGCACCGCCGGGGGTGCGGCGCTGGGCGCGCTCTCCTTCCTGTGGCCGGCGGGCGGCGCGGCGGCCACCGGGGGCTTGGGCTACCGCGCGGCGCACGGCGTCCTGCTGCAGGCGCTGGACGAGATGTGCACGGACGCGGAGGCAGTGCTGGCGCCACAGGTGCCTGCGCAGTGAGAGCTGGGCTGAAGGCCAGGGCTTCCGGGTGTGCCCAGGGTCCCACCTGCCTGGCTCTGCCAGGCGGAGGACTCAAGACCCGGTGAGAGGGAGAGGGCGCGGGGTTCAGACTCTAGCATGGGATGTCTGGGCCTGAGAGATCACGGGGCAAGGGGTTGGCCAGTCAGAATCCTGAGTGCTTGAAGGGAATGAGGGCTCTGACTAGGGGTTGGAGTGGGTGACGTCTCGTCACCAAGATTCCTGGGTCCTGAAGGGAAATAGAGTTCTGGGTTCAGGACTCCTGGTTTCTCTGGGGACCATCAGACTACGGAACTCCTCAAGGGAGTTGATGGTTTGGACTCCTGGAAGGGGGCTATCTTGGTCTCTCAAGAGTAGAAACTAGATCTAATAGGTGTCTAGTCCCCCTGTGGAGGAGGAGGTGGACGCCCTGATTGCTGATGAAGGTGGTCTCCTTCACACTGGGGATTCTGACATGGAGGAGGGGAGTCTGTGTTCCCCAGGGAGCTGGAATCCTTGGGCTTCTGAGCTACAAAGGGTATAAGATGTAGGTTTCCGGGGGTGGGGGAAGGACGGTTCTCTGGACTCTCAGAACGCCTGGCTCCCCAGAGGGCTGTGGTCTTTGCTTTCTAATTCATGGGTGGTGGAAGGTCTCCATGTAGAGGAGGGAATCGGGTGCTGTGTGAGAGAGCTGGAGACCCTGTGGTCCCTCTTGGGAAGTAGGGGGGTGTAATATTTGCCCCTCCAGAAGCCTGGGGGCGCAGATTTCTTTCCCAGCTGTTGTGGGGGAGGATGGCACCACAAAACGGGAGAGAACGCAAGAGTGTCCTGGGCATGGTTGGGCTTGGGAATAGCCAGAGACCAGGAATGAGGTTTTCTGACTGTGGAAGGGCAGGTTCCCTCAGAGGGAACTCCCCAGAATCCCTAGTGGATTTGAATCCTGGTGGCTGCCCTCCTCTGAGTTTGACTGGAAGGGGATGTGACTGACCCCATTTTCTAGGTGCTGGGCAGTTATGGGGCTCTGTGGGGACTCTGTCCCTTTCTCCCTTAGGGGTTTCTATCATTCTTGGGTCTTGGTTTCTTCTGTCATTAAACCTGAACCGTTTCGGCCTTGCTATTTTGTATACCCGCCTTTTGGGAAAAGCAGCCATACTATTGGACTAATCCAAACGCTCTCTGTTGGCTCCCTCAGGTGTTCCCAAGAGAGACACAGAGAAGGCCGCAGTGAGCCAGGGGCCCACAGAACAGCCTGACAGGTGTTCCAGACCATGGGACTGTGCCGCAGGGAGGCAAAGGCAGAAACCACAGTGCCTGGAATGTTCTAGGCTGCCAGCTACCAGTAGAAGAGAAGCGACAGGTCACAGAACTCTTTAATGCCAAGAAGAGAGAATGGCAGGGGGGAGGGGGGGTGTGCAGCTGAGAGGCCATCCAGCAGAATCTCTGTTACATTAGATGGGGAAAGGGAAACACAGAGGGGGCAGGCTCTAGGCCCAACAGCACACAGCAAGTTTCTTCCCTGCCTGTTTTCATTTCCTGCCCCATCTCGTCCTCATCTTCCTTCTGATGCTTGAGTGGGCCACCTGGGGCCATGCCTCAGGAACTTTATAGTTTCCGTTATTTCTGCCCAGAATGCTCTGCTCCCAGATCTACTTGCCAATCAGATCTCAGCACAAATGTCCCCTCAAGAGGGACCTTTCCTGACCATTGTAACCGAAGTAGCTCACATCCCACCCTTATTATTCATCTCCACTGAGTTTTTTTTTTCTTTTCCTTGCAGCAATTATGATTTTAGAAAATTATTTATTTACCTGTGTATTGGCTGTTATCCCCATGCGGCACTCTCAGCCCCTCGAATAGTGCTTGACATACAGAAGGTGCTTAGTAAATATTTAATTCATTAATCAGTGGCAGAACTAGGGCTGGAATTTAGGTCATCGGCCTCTTGCTCCGAGACAGGGAAAAGGTGGGAGATGGAGGAGAAACAAGCATCTCCTAGGAGAGGAAGCGCCTGTCAGAGGTCAGGGGAAGCCAGCACGGCTTTGCCATGTCACTCTGGGTGACTTGAGCCAGTGCCTTGTGTTCCTACCTGTGAAACAAAAGGGCCGGAGAACAAGCATAAACACTCTTGAGGCCTTATTTCCTTTGACAGCTGAAGACAAGGGTAACCAATCTGAGGGGCAGGTAGCTAAGGGGTGGTACCCCCAGGTCTAACTAAAATTCCCACCACTGGCACCATTTGTCCCATCAAAGTTGAGATAGCCCAGATAGGGGAAAGCACTTTGCACTATACTAAATGGCTCCAGGCATTGTCCTCAAAGCTCTCTCAGCCTTAGGAAAATGTTCCTCATCCGTCTCTAAGATACCCAGCTCAACGCTGTCTCCCCACCTCAACTGCAGTTCAAGCCTCTGCATCAAGCCTGCCTGCCATGGGCAGAGACAGGAATGCACAGAGCAGCTAGTCCAGTGGAAACAGAACATCAGCCACATGTTTCATCACTCAGTTATGTCTGACTCTGCAACCCCATGGACTGTGGCCAACCAGGCCCCACTGTTCATGGAATTTTCCAGACAAGAATACTGGAGTGGGTTGCCATTTCCTTCTCCAGGGGATCTTCCCGACCCAGGCATTGAACCTGCGTCTCATGCATTGGCAGGTAGGTTCTTGGCCCCTGAGCCACCTGGGAAGCTCATGAGTCACACTAGGTAGCTTAAAATATTCTAGTAGCCACAGTGAAAAACAAAAAGGGAACAGATACAGATGGCATCAATTCTAATGTCTCATGTCAATATATCCAAAATAGTATTTCAACATGTAATCAATGTAGGAAAGTACTGTTTTATGCTATGTCTTTGAAATCTGGTGTATATTTCTATAGCACATCTCAATTCGGATAATGAATTTTCATCAGAAATACTCGACCTCTAGATTTCATGAAACTCACATTTGGAGAAGTCTCGTCCTATACCCACACTGTCCCAATGATGAATAGTTTTCCAATAATGGAGATGACAAGCATTTTCTAAATTAATCAGAAGTAAGTTTCAGGTAAACTTTTCCCCAGTTGCACCAGCCAAACATGGTGAGTAGACACAACATTGAAAAAAACAACAACAACCTTAGAATCACCAGGGATTCTGTTTGCACTGCCCTAGGGCCAGACAGCCCTTTGACTGGCCTTTTGCAAGTGAGTCAACAAGTGGAATCTACCTGGAGGCTTGTCCTGAGCATTCCATGTAGACACGTTTGTACCTGGTTCTCTCTTGTGCACAGTAATAGACTTGCAGCCCCACCTGGGAGCCCTCAAACATTAGTCTCATCCCCGTGCCTTTGCTCAGGGTGCCCTTCTCTCTGACACCATCTCTGACTTGACCCTGACTGACATCTCTACACTATGCTTCTCTGCCCTCCTGCCAAGGGGACTGCTGCCTGAGATCAGCTCTGAGAAAGCAAGACCTGGTTTTGTTTTCTTGTGTTACTGTCCCTCGTGGAGTGTGCTGATTGTGTTTAAGTAGTTGTATTTCGGCACCCTTGGGTGTCACGACTCTCTTTTGGAGTGGTTGCCTTTTAAATCATGACTTTTAAAGGGATTGAACTTTAGGCTCTGGAAGCAGTAAGCTGCTAGTGAGGCATCTGTCTCTGGGAGCATCCAAACAGAAAAGACAGAAGACTCACTTGTGAAGGGACAACTGGCTGCCTTCAGGGCGAGTCTACATGGTACCTGCAGGCTGGAAGGCCCTTGAAGGCAGAAATTCTAGGAAACCTATGATGAATCTTGGTGTTGCCATCACCAGAAGCAGAGGAAGAACAGAGCCTCATCAACTTAGATGAATTTCTTACTTGTCTCGATAATGATAGGCTTGTGTGCATTGAGATGAGGAACCATGAAGCCAGGAGACTCAAGGGTGGGTTGACTTGTGGTGCTTTTTGGAAGAGTGAATAAAAAAGTAGAAATTCCATTGTGTGTGTGTTTGTTGCGGGTTTAAAAGGAGGGGGAAGATGCTTGGGATTCTGACTATCAACTGGAAGCCTAGACTCCTGTGTCTGATGGAGGAGGGGTCCAAGGGTAAGGCCTCCTGGGTCCCTGGAGAAGAGGGATGGTGGGGGTGTGTGCAGGATAGAATTCCCTGGGCTGCAGTCCAGTGACTTTAATAGAGTATTGCCACCCTGAAGGAGGTCGGGTGGACTAGTAATTGTTTAACCTTGGGGGCTGTGATAGTAAACTTCTTAGCTCTCGAACTAGCATGGCCCATTAATGCCCCCAATCTGTTCAGCATTCCTGCAGCCATGGCCTTGGAGAGACCCTTCTCATCCCGACTTTAGACCTGGTCTTTGGATCTGCTTGTCTACTGGACTAACAGGAGATGTGATGCAAGCAGAAGCTTGACAAGTACTCACGGATTGGGGTGATCTCTCTTGCTGCCCTGGGGACCCCTGCCACCATGACCACATGTAGAAGTCCTGGCTAACCTGCAGGGTGATTAGATACATGTGGCCCAGTCAGCCAGGACACCCCAACCAGTGTCAGCCCTCTGAAAGGGAGGTGCCTAACTGACCAGCAGCTGAACCATCCTCCAGCTGACCCTAGACTAAATTGCCAACCCATGGAATGAGGTAAACACAAGACAGTTATTCTAGAGGCTTCCCTGGTGGTCCAGTGGTTAAGAATCTGCCTTGCAATGCAGAGGATTGAAATTCAATCCCTGGGGGGAGGGGGGTAACGAAGATCCCAGATGCTGCCCATCATCTGAGCCTGGGAGCTGCAACTAGAGTGTCCATGTGCTGCAAAAGGGATCCTGCATGACTTTGTGCTGCCAATGCAGGGGGCCCAGATTAGATCCCTGATCAGGGAACTAGACCCCACATACCACAACTAAGAGTTCACACGCTGCAGCATTAGGTCTCAAATACCATCACTAAAGATTCCACATGCCAAAACTAAGACCTGGTACAGCCAAACAAATAAATATTCTTTAAAAAGTAAATAAATTTACATAAATAAACAAATAAGTTTTCTTTTAAAAAGAAAAAGAATCTGCCTTGCAATGCAGGGAATTCAAGTTCAATCCCTAGTAGGGGAACTAAGATCCCACATGGCGCAGAGCAGCTGAGCCTGTGAGCTGCAGCTACAGAGTCCATGCTCCGCAATGAGATCTGCCAAAAAAAAAAGATCCTGCAAGAGTCGACAGAGGCCTTGTGAGCTGCAACTAAGACCCAATACAACCAAGTAAATAAAACTATATAAATATGTTTATATAGACAATTATTCTAAGCAACTGAGGTTTGGAGGGGCTTGTTATGTAGCAAAGGATGGATAACTGATACAGGCATGTCCCCTCTCTCCGGGATGTGGTCTCTTTCTCCCTTTCAACAGGACCCAGTGATTAAACTCTCAAGCTCTGTCACTTTTTAGCTGCATGGTCGCCAATGTGATGTTCCTTCTCTGAACCTCAGATTCTTCTGAAAACAGGGTTGAGAATAATAGTGCCTATCACAAGGAGTGGCTGTGACCATAGAGTGGATCATCTTCATTTCACGACCCTAAGAGATCATGTTGGTTATGAAACTTGTCTGGCAGAGGTGGGGGTGGGGACAAGGGGGCCAGACTGCTCTTCTTCCGCCCTACCCCTTGGGGTTCACTAGGGCCATGGAAGGGGGAGCATCCTTCCCTACTCTACTGAGGTTGGCTTTAAACCATATGATTTACTTTACTCCATGGAATGTTAGCATCCCCAACCTCCTCAGGGACCTTTGGTGCACTTGGGTTTTGTGCCCCTGTCATCTGCCATGAGAAGGACATTAGCCAGGGAGCCACAGATCCCAGAAGACTGAAACCCCATGGAGGAGAACTAGAATCACCCTCCCAAACTGGAGTGAAACCCACCAGTTCATAACCTGAAACAGAGCTGCCCCAGATACCTACAAACCATAGGAAGCAGAATACTTGTTGTTACAAGTCTCAGTTTGGGGATGGTTTGTTATACAACATTATTACAGCGTTAATTGACTAATGTTCTTGTTCAGTCACTCAGCTGTGTCCAACTCTTTGCATCATCGTGGACTGCAGCACTCCAGACATCCCTGTCCTTCACCATCTCCAGGAGCTTGCTCAACTCATGTCCATTGAGTCATTGATGCCATCAAACCATCTCATCTACTGTCGCCCCTTTCTCATCATGCCTTCAATCTTTCCCAGCATCAGGGTCTCATCTAGTGAGTCAGGTCTTCGCATCAGGTGACCAGTATATTGGAACTTCAGCATCAGTCCTTCCAATGAATATTCAGGGTTGATTACCTTTAGGATTGACTGGTCTGATCTCCTGCAGTCAAGAGACTCTGAAGAGTTTTTTCCAATACCACACTCTAAAAGCATCAGTTCTTCGGCACTCAGCATTCTTTATGGTCCAACTCTCACATCCAGCATGGCTACTGGAAAAACCATAGCTTTGACTTTATAGACCTTTGTCAGTAATACAACATTGTTTTAAACCACTGAGTTTAGGGACTTGTTTGTTACCTTAGCATAATTCAGTGTATCCTGATAGATGCCAAGGTCTAGCACCTGACAGCTAATGCCTGCTCAGTAAGTGGCAGCTATTAGGACAGTAGCTATTTGGCCAGACACGTTGTCTCCAGAACCAACACTGTCTTAAAAGTGCTAGTCCATGTGTTCAATCACTTATTCGTGTCCGACTCTTTGTGACCCCACTGACCGTAGCCTGCCAGGCTCCTCTGTCCACGGGATTCTCCAGGCAAGAATGCTGGGGTTGCCATGCCCTCCTCCAGGGGATCATCCCGACCCAGGGATCGAACCTGCCTCTCCTGCATTGTTAGGGAGATTCTTTCCCATCTGAGCAACCAGGGGAGCCCCCTTTAAGATGGTAGGCACTGCACTAAGTCCTTTTTTAGTTTTCTTTCATTCGACCCTTCAAATAGCTCTGTGAGGTTATAAACATTAATATTCACAGCTTACAAACATGAAACTGAGGCAAAAAGAGGTTAACCAGGAGAGGCAATCATGCACTCTGGAGTCTGACTCTCCCAACTGTTTGACCAAAGGCAAGTTACACCACAATCTGTGCCTCAGTTTGTTCCTCTGTAAAATGGGGACAATACTTTAAACCTCACAGAGTTGTGATTATGAAATGAGCACTCTCATGGAAAACACTTAGCACAGGGACCCCTCTCCTTATCCCAAAGAGGGGGTTCGACAGGGTTGAGACCCCTGCTTTTTGCAACCCATTTCCCTGAAATGCATCACATCACAAAGACTCAGGCTTGTTCTGTTAATTCATTTAATTTATAGACACGTGGGAAGCTGTAGCTGAGACAGAATGGAGACCAAACACCACATGGGCCTCAGTTCTTTACTCAGCCTTGCCAGAAGCCTGGGGGCTTGAGACAGCTGGTCTTCTTAATGGTCAACAAACGAGAGCCTGAGGGCACCAGGGTCCCAGGCTTGCTGTGGCAGGTGTTCTCCGTACCACAGCCCTGGGCAGCAAATCTGATGCCTGTGGGAGGGGGTTTCAGGCTAGAGTCAGGATCTCCAGTGCCTCCCCGCTCCCAATCCAGGGGTCATGCCCCAGCCACCTTCCTCCATTTCTCTGGAGCCACTCTCTCCCTTAGAATCTTGTAGAATGAGGCTCCAGTTCTGGGACCCTCTGGGAACCCTGTGCCCTCCTCCCGAAATCCAGGTTCCCCTCACCAGGGTGCATGAGGCCAGTCATGGTGACACAGCGGGTTTCCTCGCCAACGCAGAGTGCTTCCTGAGTCGGGGTGCATGTTTCCTTGAGGAAGGCGAAGCAGGAAGGACATCGAAGGCCATTCTCTGTCAGATTTCTCCTGAACGCTGGGGAGGAGGGTGGAGGGTAAGGTGCATGGGAAATTAATCCCTTTTCCAACCTCACAGCCGACACGGGGACACAGGTCGCTAACCTGCGCTGCATTTTTTTTTTAATGTTTACTTGACTGCATTGGATCTTAATTGTGGCCTGTGGAATCTAGTTCCCTGATCAGGGATCAAACCCCTGCATAGGGTGCATGGAGTCTTAGTCAGTGGACCATCAGGGAAGTCTCTGGACACTGCCGTTTACAGAAGAAACCAAGGCTCAGCGCAAGGAAGATGCTTGGCCTCAGTTACAGCGCAGGTCAGGAGCAGGTGCTCACAGCTGGCTCTGGTGGAGGAGGGGTGGGCAGGGAGGGACTCCAGCTCTGGGGCTCAGCCGGGGCTCACCGGGCAGCGGCTCCTGGTTGCAGCCATTGCTCTGGCAGCAGTGTGTGGTAGCCCCTACGTTGCTTTCGGGGCCATCATTGAAGGAGAGGAATCCCGGGTCACAATCGCTGGATGTCGTGCACCCCTTCTTGGAGCTCACTGAAACATCGCCAACTGCAGGATGGGGGCAGCGGGAGGGCTCAGGGGCCCTGGTCTGGACCCTGGCCTCGGGGTGTCTCCCCTACCTTACGGCTTCCCCAATCCACTGTGATCTAGAGCGGTCTCTTCCAGCTCCCAAAAGTCAGACCCCCTTATCTGCCTGGGGCATCATCTGAACGGTCTATTAGGTAGCAACCCTTTCTCTCTCTGCCCCCAGCTGTGTTGGTCTCTCCTGAGTGGTCCCTTCAGCCCCACGTCACTCACCGCCATTCTCTAAAGGTCACACCTGGAGAGGCCTTTTCCAGGCCACCTGTGACTACCCCCAGGCCTGTGTGAAATGGTCTCTTCCAGCCTTCAGCCCTCCCCTGACCCCTGGAATTCCTTCCACCAAATCCTAGGATGCAGCCCTCAGCCACCACCCTGTAACACCCATCTCCTTCTTCCAGGGTCACTGCCTAGGCCTCCTACGGATGGTCTCTTGCTGCCCTCCTTGGCTACTCTCAAGTCTTGCCTGAAGTGGTCTCTTCCAGCCTCCCTGGCCTTCCCCCTTCCCACCACAGGTGGTCTCTTCCAACACTAGGGTTTCTGCTCTTCATGCAACCTGCGTGGGTCTGTGGGTCCTCAAGGGTGTCTGATTCTGCAACCTCATAGACTGAGTCCAGGGATTATCTGTCCTTACATCTATCTCTGTCTATCCCAATATTGAGGCTTCCCAGGTAGTGCAGTGGTAAAGAAACAGACTGCCAATTCAGGAGACACAAGAAATGCTGGATTGATTCCTGGGTGGGAAAGATCCCTTGAGGAGGAAATGGCAAGTGACTGCAGTATTCCTGCCTGGAAAATCCTATGAACAGAGGAGCCTGGCGGTCTGCAGTACATGGGGTCACAAAGAGCTGGACACTACTGAGCTCACACCCAACTCAATCAACCCCAATATCTCCCTCTTTCTCCTGTCCGGAAACCTTTGGTCCAGCCCGTATCCCTAGGAGATGCCTGGTGCCCCCAGAGAGTCAACCTGATCACTTTCCTTGCAACTCACTCCAGTCTTCTCTACACCCATCCCTACACCTTTTGCATATTAGATGCCCCCCCCATTTCCGTCTTCCCCCACCCCCACCATGTCCTTTCCTTTCCTAATCCCCTCTTGCCTAAGAAAAGCCCTAAATCTGCCCCTCCCCCATCCTCTCTTTAGACTCTCATTTTCAGAAATATTTGGCAACAGTGGTTTCTGTCATTCCACCAGATTCTTTCCTCCACCCACCTTGAGATTGTCTTTCCCTCTTTCCTGCCCCCTCATCACTCAAATGTTCCTCCCAGCGCCTGGTGGTACATGCTACCCTGAAGGCACTCCCCACCTCCCCAGGATCTGACGCTATCCCCTGCCCTCTTACCTCTGTGGGTCTCATATATGGCGGCCATACAGGTGTCCTCTTCGGGGGCGCAAGCCTGCATTGTTCCCTGGCAAAAAGGACCGGGGCTTATACACACCCAGCAGTCTAGTGGGTACCCTGCAGAAGAGAGCGGGGCTCTAGTCAAAGCTGGTGTGGTCTGTGGATCACAACTCCGAGTCCAGAGGGGCATGGGGTGGGGGGTCTGAAGGAAGAGGTACGCATGTCTCCCTAGTTATTAAGGGCAGGACATTGGCTGCTGAACAGGGAATTTTCCAAAGCTCCTGCAGGGACACCGGGGTGCTGCCAGCAAAGCTGCTTCCAGGCATAAACAGCAACCCCACCAGTGAGCAAGTTTACCTAATCACAAGGATGGAGCCTTTGGATACTAGGGTCTTCTGAGAAATCTTGAGGACAGTGAAGGGTCCTGCTGAAGGTTTCCATGGAGATTTTTTAAAAATTTTTTTATCTATCTTTTTTCTATTTTCTGGCTATGCTGAATCTTCCTTGCTTGCCGGGGTTTTTCTCTAGTTGCAGTGAGTATGGTCTACTCTCTCGCTATGGTGCTTGGGCTTCTCACTTGTGGTGCCTCCTCCTGTTGCAGAGCACAGGCTCTAGAGCACTGGCTCAGTAGTTGTGGTGCAAGGGCTTAGTTTGCCCAAGGCATGTGGAATTGTCCCGGACCAAGGATTGAACCCTCGTGCCCCGATTTGGCAGGCAGATTCTCAGCCACTGGACCACTGGGGAAGTCCTTCATGGACTTTCGTGAACCTTCAGGTCCAGCTGGTTCTTGGAAGTGCAACCCTCTTACTTCTGGGTACCACACTTAAGTCTGATAGATAGTGGGCACTCAGGCAGGGGAACCTGAGGCTGGGATCTGCATCCCAGGCCAGGAAGGAAGATCAAGGACCAGGAGGGTAAGTGCATGGACTCCTTGGTCCTGAGAGAGGAGGCAACTGGGGGACCAGACACAAGGAAACTGGGTCCTGGGGAAGGTGGAGTAGCCTGAACTCCTACACCTGAGGGACGAGGACACTGGGGCCCTGAACTGCTTAGAGTCCTGGGAGAAAGGAAATCTCTCGCCTTCGCCTCATGTTTTTTCATATTAATGAAAAATAGTAATCATACTAATCATAGTCTCATCTGATTTTCTAGATCAGGTGTCTTATTTGGAGACACTGCCTGGGATACAGGGAACAGAGCCCATCCAAACCCCTCCTTTCTCAGAGATTTAAACCCACACGTTTTTTAGCTCTTCCTCCCTTGGGGACCCAGGCTTTTTCTCCTTTACCCTCTGACTTCTCCATGAATTCCAATTCCCAGGACACTTCCTCTTTCCCTTCTCTCTTGAGGACCTGGCTGAATGCTGGCTCACAGTCCTTGTTTTGAGGGTCCTAGGAGTCCAGAGCCCTAGTCACTTACCCAGACCCAGGAGGGTGCAGAGCAGCATGGAGGCCAGCAGGAAGGTCTCAGGTTTCATGGAAGGCTTCATGATGGATGGATGAGTGACCCTGCAGTTCCAAGTCCCCAGCTGTTCTTATAGGGAGCTGAGAAGGGGCAAGTCTGGACCTACCTTAACTTTATCCCCAGGCTAAGAAATTATGTAAGACCTGGGGGTAGGTCTCTGCAGCTCTGCGTGGGGGAGGCAGAATCCGAATCCGAAAAGAACATGGGCATCTTGTAACCAACCCCTCCCCCCGGAGTCTCGGCTTCCAACCCTCTCCTCCATCAGATCCCACCACCCCTGCCCTCACCCTTTTTTTCTGACACGAAGCCCAGGATCAGAATCAGGTCATTTTGTTTCCTGTAGGGTAGAGCAGCTGCTAGGACTCAGATACTCTCTCCCTTGCCTCTCTTCCCAAGGAGGTGCCTAGGTGGGTGAGACCCTACCTGGGAGCGCCCAGCAAGTCCAGGCTTGTTCTGCGGGGGCATGCTTCGTTCTTACTCCCTTTTCTGTGTTTGGTCTGTCTCCAGCTCCGACTCCACCCCAAGATGCACTTCTGGGTTTCTCGGGGACTGAACAGAGGGGGCTTGTCATCGGGCAGGAATGGGCATGTTAGGCGAGAGATGCCCACAGGTCCCATTGGAAAACTGAGGCAAGGTTCAAGGCACTCAAGGCTGGGCGTGTGTCTAGTTTGGGCACATATTTTGTGTTTTACTGAGGTCCTTTACACTCTCTCTCTGCCTCAGGCATGATCTTCAGAGATCAGTGATTTTTTTTTTTCCTGTGTGTGGGCATGGGGAGGGTAACCAGTCATCGGTGGAGGGGATCCTGTTGCGGTAGGCTCCTGGCTTCCTGCAAAAATTCACTCAAGTTTGCTGGCCTCTTGCTTTCCAGGCTTCATTTGGGCCGGTGAGGACAGTGAATTTCTTTTGGGGACCAATCCAGCAGGCCACTTGGGTTGCTAGGATGTCATCTGCATATCTGAGGTTATTGATATTTCTCCCCACAATCTTGATTCCAGCTTGTGCTTCATCCAGCCCAGCATTTCGCATGATGTACTCTGCATGTAAGTCAAATAAGCAGGATGACAGTATACAGCCTTGATGTAATCCTTTCCCAATTTGAAACCAGTCCGTTGTTCCATGTCCAGTTCTAACTGTTGCTTCTTGACCTGCATACAGATTTCTCAAGAGGCAGGTCAGATGGTCTGGTATGCCCATCTCTTTAAGAATTTTCCAGTTTGTTGTGATCCACACAGTCAAAGGCTTTAGCGTAGTCAGTAAAGCAGAAGTAGATGTTTTTCTGGAATTCTCTCACTTTATGACCCAGCAGATGTTGGCAATTTGATCTCTGGTTCCTCTGCCTTTTCTAAATCCATCTTGAACATCTGAAAGTTCATGGTTCACATACTGTTGAGGCCTTCTTTGGAGAATTTGGAGCATTACTTTGCTAGGGGGTGAAATGAGTTCAACTGTGTGGTAGCTCGAACAGTGTTTGGCATTGCCTTTCTTTGAGACAGAATGAAAACTGACATTTTCCAGTCCTGTGGCCACTGCTAAGTTTTCCAAATTTTCTGGCATATTGAGTGCAGCCCTTTCACAGCATCATCTTTTAGGATTTGAAATAGCTCAGTTGGAATTCCATCATCTCCACTAATTTCCTTCATACTTAGGACCACTAAGGCCACTAAGGCCCACCTGACTTCACACTCCAGGATGTCTGGCTCTAGGTGACTGACCACACCATCATGGTTATCTGGGTCATTAATAGCTTTTTTAAAAAATATAAATATTTTTATTTTCTTAGCATTTATTTATTTGACTACACCGTATCTTACTTTTGGCACATGGGATCTTTCGTTGAGGCATGAAAACTCTTAGTTGCAGCATGTGGGATCTAGTTCCCTGCCCAGGGATCGAACCCAGGCTCCCTGCATTGAGACCCCAGAATCTTAGCCACTGGATTACTAGGCAAATCCCAAGAGCTTTTTTGTGTAGTTCTGTATATTCTTGCCACCTCTTCTTAATATCTTCTGCTTCTGTTAGGTCCATACCATTTCTGTCTTTTATTGTGCCCATCTTTGCATGAAATGTTCCCTTGGTATCTCTCATTTTCTTGAAGAGATCTTTAGTCTTTCCCACTCTGTTGTTTTCTGTATTTCTTTGCATTGATCACTGAGGAAGGCTTTCTTATCTCTCTTTGCTATTCTTTGGAACTCTGAATTCAGATGGGAATATCTTTCCTTTTCTCCTTTGCCTTTCACTTTTTTTCTCAGCTGTTTCTAAGGCCTCCTCAGACAACCATTTTGCCATTTTGCATTCTTTTTCTTGAGGATGGTTTTGATCACTGCCTCCTGTACAATGTCACAAACTTCCATCCATAGTTCTTCAGGCACTCTGTCTATCAGATCTACTCCCTTGAATCTGTTTGTCTCTTCCAGTGTATAAAGGTAAGGGATTTGATTTAGGTCAGACCTGAATGGCCTTTCTTCAGTTTGAGCCTAAATTTTGCAATAAGGAACCAGTGATCTGAGCCACAGTCATCTCCAGGTCTTGTTTTTGCTGACGGTATTCAGCTTCTCCATCTTTGGCTGCAAAGAATATAATCAATATGATTTAGGTAATGACCATCTGGTGATATCCATGTATACAGTCATCTCTTGTGTTGTTGGAAGAGGGTGTTTGCTATGACCAGAGCATTCTCTTGGAAAACTCTGTCAGCCTTTGCCCTGCTTCATTTTGTACTCTAAGGCCAAACTTGCCTGTTACTCTAGGTATCTCTTGATTTCCTACTTTTGCATTCCAGTCTCCTATGATGAAAAGGACATGTTGTTTTGGTGTTCGTTCTAGAAGGTCTTGTAGGTCTTCATGGAACAGTTCAACTTCAGCTTCTTCAGCATTAGCGGCTGGGGCATAGACTTGGATTACTGTGATACTGAATGGTTTTGCATTGGAGACTGACAGAGATTATTATGTCGTTTTTGAGACTGCACCCAAGTACTGCATTTTGGACTCTTGTTGACTGTGAGGTCTACTCCATTTCTTCTAAGGGATTGTTGCGCAGAGTAGTAAATCTAATGGTAATCTGAATTAAATTTGCATGTTCCAGTCCAATATAGTTCACTAATTTTTAAAATGTTGATGTTCACTCTTGCCATCTACTGTTTGACCACTTCCAATTTACCTTGATTCATGGACCTGGAAAGAACTATAATTGACTGTGATACATGTAAAGAAATATTTGACTTTAAAGAAGAAGCTGTCATGAGTTACTGTAGGGTAAGTGTTCAATAAGTATCTTGCGTTTCTGGCATGTATTCTGGATGCCTGTGTGAATGTGATAAGTTGTCAAAATGTCAGATTCCATTTTGACTGATGGTCAGATTTCCTCAGTGGTTCCCCCCTTCCTCCAGCGGCTCCATCTTAGAGAACATCTTAGAGAACATTGGTTTCATTTTTATTTTCCTTTCACAAAGGGGACTTTTTGGGATTCTAAGGAGGGTCATTAGAATTTCTGGGAGGCCATAAGGGAATTCGGAGAGATGTGGAATAGACGAATTTTCCGAGAGAAAAGGAAGGATGGATCACTTCCTGGGAAGGATCAGAGGTCAATTTCCAGAG